ATTCTAATGGTCAAGGCAATGGTTATTCAATTCTAAGCCTGTTTCCTATATTACTCCAGGCACAGATTTTCCAACCATTGTTTATAATTTAACTTATAAACTACCGGTATTGTTAGTTATGTTCACATAGTTTTCTAGCCTAGGCTAGTTAACTTGCTTTAATGGCATATGTAGGGTAACTTAGTTCCTTTGGAGCATAGGTACACAGTTATTGAAAACACTGTGGCATGACAATCATGTAAGGTAGGCTAAATGTAATTAGCCTATTTAACCTAAAACTTTGGTTAAGTTTGAAATATTGAAAATATAGGCCTAAATCAAGATATTCAAACTATTCACTGTAACATTATTTTTAATTTATTTATACTCTATGGAACAAAAGACAAATCGAAGCACAAACACCACTGATAAGTTACATAACTTACCGGTAGCCTAGCAGCAGTACAACGTTTTATTGTTTAAATTTTAAAAAACAGCTTCACACTAGTTAAGACAAGTTTGAACTCATAAAATTAACTCATAAAAGTTTAGAGTCTTGCCCTACAAAATACTAGTAGCCTACTTAGGTTTAATTGCTGGAAGGGCAGGGAACATTTCTTCAGTTTTTTCCAGTTTGCTGGCAGGAATCTGTTTATTACGATGGTTGGGAGGAAGAGATGAGGCATGGGAGGTGTTTACCTGTTTGTTTCGGAGATGAGGAGGAACATAAGCGTTGGTGGTGGTGGTGTTTTCCTGTCTCTTATGTTCATAGGAAGGCGCAGAGGCTCGCTTGGTAGTGATCTTGCTATTTCTTAGGTGTGGCGGTACATAGGCATTCAGAACTAGAGTCGGTTTCTTTTCTTCGTCAGGTGGTGGTGCCTCAATAGTTTTCCAACTTTTAGTTTCTTTCACCTGTTTCCCCTCTTCTATCTCTTCAGATTCTTGAGTCATTTTGTTCCAAGGACATTGAGCTTCATCCTCTTTGGCATTCTCTGCAGTGTCTTCCTCTTCCAAATTTACATCAAGAATTTTCAAACCGGAGTAATCTACTTTCTTTTCTTCAAAAACGTTCCATTCTTCATCAGGCAGCTCAATTTCCACTTTCTCTTTCTTGACGGATATCTGTTTTAGTTTTTGGTCAATGTCATTGATAGTTGTGTATTTTGCTTTTTGTTTCTTCTTGTCCTTTTTGGCAAAAAAGTCATTGAGGTCTGCCATGGTTTTGGAATGTAAATTAAACGGTCTTTAAAATATTAGTTACAATTGACAGTAAGCATAACCCTATCCTACACGATTTTTAACAACTAATGTTTTAAGTACGTTTTGAATGTCGGTGGAACATCACACTAGGACTAGAATTCATTTCATTGTTTGATTTCACGATCACGAAACAGGAAACACACATTTCAAAACAAACAGCTTCTGCTTCTGCACAATCCACACACAATCCAGTGCCGTCATGATTTCATGCCTCAGCTTCGGGAGGATTCGTGGAGTAGTTATCGAACACACACTATATAGAGTTAACCAACATTTTGACTTATCTATGCATTTCATATGTAAAAAATGATGAATAAATGTCTTATGTCTTATGTCTAACTGAAAAATTCCCCTATTTCTATTTATTATTATTCAAAACTTATATAACAAAATGATCAATTGAGATCTAATACTAATGTATTATAAGCCTAATACTGTATATACATGTAATGATTACTTTATCTGTGTAATAGCACAGGCCTACAGTTAGTTGTTGCATATTCCCCATTGACTTCTGCATATGTATTAATTTAATTTTCTCTCATTGATTTCAACATTATCATTAATTTGCACGTTTTGCTGACTAAATATACAAACAAGAATTCTGTCAAACAACACTTGAATATTTACATTAGGTATACCTATTGCGATTTAATGTAATACATTTGTATCATACACCATACACACAATAAAACCTACGGGACAAGAAGAAAATAAAAATTGGAAAGAAAATACCCGATGGGAGCTATAATAGAAGCTATGAATTATAGTTGTGGGAGTGGGCTTCAGTCTTTATCAGCCGGTCTGAAAATGGCAACATAGATTGTTGGTTGTGAAGCTAAGCATAGCCACTTTAAAAGGTGGCTGTGAGCTAAGGGAGTAAGTTTAATCTATAATCTATGATATTACCATTGACTTCGGACATAGCTATGTATCTCGTCAAAGACTGCGCAAGTGTCTGAAACTTTATGTCCTACCTTGTTTTTTGTTACTGAGGTATTTGACGTATCATACAAGATGGTGTAGTGGCAGTGGAAACTGCTCACCGAAGCGTTCAGCATGATCGGTACTCAACGTGTATGCCATCATTGAGTATGTTGTATTGCATGCGTATGTGCGTTGAGTACGTGCATACTCAATGGTGCCATCGCCATGTACTGTACCATTTACTGTACTCTGTGTGTCTGTATGTGTGTGTACAGCGCTACAGGCCACACCTGTAGTCCAACTTTGATTAAATTTGGTATGTAGGTACTAATCTATGGTATCTCCAGGCATTTTTTATTTTTACAGCTAAACTTGGATGAAATTTCTCATTGGTTTAAAACATGGAGGTTCAAAATTAATGAAAATAAATCAGCACACATTACTTTTACCTTAAATCAGGAATCAGGCTACATGTCCTCCAGTATCCATGAACAATATTCACCTCCCTCAAGTAAAGGAAATAAAATACTTGGGCATGCACTTAGATGCAAAGCTTAATTGGAAGGCACATATCTGGACTAAAAGGCAACATCTAAATTTAAAAACAACTAAACTTAATTGGCTTCTTGGATCTTAATCAAAACTCTGTACACAAAATAAATTGTTACTGTACAAAACAGTTTTAAAACCAATTTGGATGGTATTCAGCTTTGGGGATCAGCAAGTACCTCAAACATTGAAATTATTCAACGTTACCAATCAAAATTATTACGTAAAATTGTCAACGCTCCTTGGTTTGTTACCAACAGAACACTTCACAATGATCTTCAAATTCGAACAGTAAAAGAAGAAATTACAAAATATAGTGAAAAATACATTATAAAATTGGAAAATCATTCAAATCATCTTGCACTTAATTTATTGGACAATCACAACACCATTTACAGACTGAAGCGACATACGATATTGGACCTACCATTCAGATTCGGCTAAGTGTTATCAAAATTCTCTTTGTTTGCTAGTGTTGACGGTGGTCAATCACTAGCTCATGTTCTTCAAGTTATTTTTGTATTACTATTTATATCATTTGCTTATTGTTCAACTTGAACAGATTGTAAATTAAATAAAGTAAAAAAAAAAAATTTATTTTTTTTATTCGCATAAAATAACGAAAAAATCAATTTTTTCGAAAATAGCCCGAACAATTTTGATACAAATTTAGTAGGTATGATATAGTCTCTTAGATTCTGAACAAAATGGTACACTTCCCATTAAGGAAAGGTGGGAAACTGCTTTTCTGCACACTGGTGGCCAGCCTGTATTGTGAGACTCCTGAATGGATCAGACTACACTAAAAAGCACCTCTACTTTATTCATTGTACACAGCACAGACCTGGGATTGTTTGTCACATTTCTTCAAGTCACATTGATGGGATAACAATGGTTTCCATGACCGAATAATCAATCAGTTATTTTTTGCGTCAATCGGTTATTTTTAGTTGAATGAATCACCGAATCAATTTTAGTCATTATTCACTGTCACAAAACACAACTTATTTTTATCTTATGGGAAACTGAATGGCATTTAGTCTTTTAGCGTCAATCGGTGATTTTAGTCGAACGAATCTCCGAATAAATTTTAGTTTCCTGATGATGTGACAAACTAAATCACCGAATCGCTCTGTAAGACTAATTTAACCGAACCAGGATAAAATAACCAAATTGGTCTATTCAGCATCAATAACCGATTGATTCGGTCATTTTCATTCGGTGATTCCTACCACTACAAGTCACTAAATATGTGACCTAAGCTAGGGCTCCCCCATTTCTGACATTCAGATCTTTTTTATGACCTGAACAGCATTGAAAGTAACAATGGAAATCAATTATAGTACACTGAAGTAACTAAAGAATAAAGATATATTTTATTTACAAGGAATTTTAACAAGTAAGTATTATTATTATGAATATTATTTACATATATTTTTTAAACTTATTTAACAATAGTTCACATAATTACATAGAGGTATAAGTACATAAATCAAGAAGAAAAATTACTGATAATGTTTTCAGGTTTTAGACAAAACTATAATAATTTTTATTTTACACATTAATATAACATAGGCTACGGTATGTATTATGGAAGAAGATACTGCAGAAAAAATAGACAGCTTACAAAATAGATGCTGAAAAATTGTTTTTTTACTACAGAAACAAGAATGATTGCAATTAGTTTGTAAAAATGATTGTATAGCAAATGTGTTAAAATAAGTAACACTAATACATACTGAGGGTAGATGATTAAGAAAGTATATACAATTAATAAGAAATGTGACGAATAATACAGCAACATGAAATAAAAAACAATATAAACATAGCACCTTAGCCAACTAAAGTTATTGAATGGAGATTGTTTTAGTGATAAAATCAATTGCATTCTAAAACAAAATAATCTATTGAGCACAAATAAATTAGTATTTTACACTTGCAAAGGAAATAAAGGTACTCTAGCGATATTCTTTTTTACATAAAATTGTACAGCCATTGGCGTCAAACGACAACCGAGTAGCAACAGGATCACTATTTCACTCTGTTTCTAGAACTCTATTCTAATGTGAACTTCACTTTCACTTTTGACTTTATATTTCATTTCACTTCACTTTAAAATTTAACAATTCCACTGCAAGAAGTCAAATCTCTGTGACAAAAGTAAGTGCAGTAATGATCAAACTGTTGTGACTTGTTTATCGTTCAAAGACCCTGACTACAAAGTGTGGCTGTATAAACTAATCAAAGATTACATGAAACTGTAGTAATATTGTACAGACTATGAACTACAAGTCAAAATCAATATTGTCTAAATTTTCATCTCCGTCTTGCAATGAAAACGGTTGCGAGTAATCGCTCAGAGGTACTGAATTTTTCTGGGAACATTTTATGGACATTTCAGCTTTATCCTCACTGTCTTCAACAGGTTCACTTTCACAGCTTTTACTGATTTCTAAATCACAGTAAGTTGTTATATTAAAATCGTGATCACTTTCGCTATCTTTTTCATCCAAGCTTAACTTATCTCCTTCATCTTTGGGTGTTGGAGATTTCACAGGAGTTTTTGTGGTGTTTGAATCTCTTTTGGCTGAAAACATGGACAATTTACTAAGAGTTTTGACACTTACTTTGACATTTTCAGTTCTAATTGGAGATATTTGAGGATTTGAATTAATGCTGCTAGTGATATTATTTTCTTTCGTTCTATCAGGAGTTAACGCAGATATTTTTTCCGCATCAATACAATCGGAATTAGTTGGAGCTGTGCTGATTCCATCCGATTCAACATCATGCTTGAATTTTTTGCCATTACTTGAAGGTTTGAACTCAAATTTTCTTTTCAAAAAAACATCTAGTTTGTCTCTGATGTTGTTTTTACTTGCTCCGTTTGCACATATCTCGTCGAATTTAGGATCTAAGATACTATTCTCATGAGATTGCCTTTTACAGATTTTGCTTTTGTGTTTTTCTTTTTCTTCGCCTTTTTGGTGTTCAACTACAATTTCTTTTGGCTGAGCTTTTGATGAATTCGTGTCTTCGTTCTTTTCACTGTTATTGTTCATTACTAATGTATTTTCTGTTTTGTCTACAGTAGCTTTTTCATGATAAGATATATTATTAGAGCTATGACTCCCTGTGGGTAAACTGTCTTTTGAAGTATCATTTAAAGCGGACATTGCATTTCTTTCACTACTTTGTACTTTGATATTGTCAACTAAATCAAAAACATCATTATCTGACTCAGAATCAGATTGTACAGCAGATTCTATGTTGAAGGCCTTTTGGTTTGGAATTTTATTCATTTTAGAAATTTCTTTGATGGATTTATTAGTAACTTTAGACTTTGAATTTGATGAACTTGTTTCCGTACCACAGCTAGACTTAGCAGGAGTTTTCATTACTTTCTTTTTGTTTGCTTTTGATTCAGAGTTATTACTTTTACTTTTCTTTTTACTATTTTTAGTATCCTTAATGGGCGAAATTGTTATGTCCAAGAAATTTGAATCTAATGGGTCTGAGTCGCTGCCATCAGCTTCTTCTGTTTTACTTTTACTTTTTGAGACTTCTTTTTGCTTACGCTTATTTTTTTGCAACGCCTTTTTACCTGCTTTCAAATTTACATGCTGAGTTGCTTCAAATGCGTTTCTTTCTCTTGCCCGTCTTATGCTTGCAAGGACTTCACTGAGTTTTTCAGAAACCTTTGATGAAGTTGGAAACACCAGTTTCTCAACATCGTTGTGGACGTTTGAGCTTGAGGTTTCAAACAATGTTACTTTTGTCTCGGGATTCAAAACTTCATTCAGGTCTTCATTTTCTGACAATTGACTATTTTCTTTCATGGTTTTAAAATGCAATTTAACATCTTTTCCTTTGGTTTTATGTAAAGGTGTTTTACTACTTTTTTTCATTTCTTGTATTAAAACTCTTTCTGCCTCCAATAGATCGTAAAGCTGTAGCTTATTCAAGATCAGTTCGGCTGAAAAAACAAAAATGTATGAAGTATAAAATAGTCAAACTTAACATAAAATGGCACAAGACAACTTGGGTAGTATAACTAAACATAAAGATGGCTCTTTAGCACTAAAAGTGCAGTGATGATTAATAAGCGACATGTCAAAAAAATAAATCATGTATGTATTGGTTGTTTTAATCCTTGAACTTTATATCCAACAACCTCACAATAAATTATTGGCTTCATAATCATCGCAAGTGTGACCAAAGAATATGTATGACACAAAAAGACAACAAAAAGATTATTTTAATTAAACAACCATTCTCAAACCTTATACATAATACAGGCAAAAAAAAAACATTTTAAACATTCAAAAACATTTTTATATTTTAAACAGGTAAAAAAAACTTGATGACTATGACTTGATCTGTAGTATAACATAGTGCAATGACCAATATTTTTAGGATAATTGTTAGGATGGCAGGAGTACCTGAATGAGGTCTTGGCACAAGAAAAACAAAAACTTTACAAAAATTGTGTATACAGTTTTTGTTTCTAAATCCAGCAGGTACTCTTTCTCATTCGGTAAGCCGGCTATTACAAAAGTTTCCTAAGAGTGCATGGTAGTTTTAAGCATCAACTACATCCTCAGTTGTAGTTTGGCGATGTGTTTGATGCTGAAAACAACCATCGATTCTTATAACACCAGCCGCAGAAGCCTATACATGAAGAAAAGTTTAGCTTAAGACGTAATGTTTTAACACACAACGTACCTTGGTGGGAGTACTCGTCTATCGGATCTGACGGGAAGCTGGTGTGTAGAATGTTTATTTCACTGATCAGAGCCGTACTCTGCATACTTGACTCCATCAGAGCCACAGTGACAACTGCATCCAACACAGTCACTTCTGAGCGGAACATCAGCTTGGCGTGAGCCTGGGATAGTCTGTCAAGAAATAACATCAGTTTATAACGGAACAGCTTCTTGATAAAATAGGATTTTAAATGAGATTCAGTCTAAAGATCTTGTATTGCATGATTACACTAACTACAAAAGTTTTACAGTTGTTCTGTTCTCATCCAAGTTTCAGAGCCATTCTCATTAACGTTTTCGACCTCATAAAACCTTTTCTAACCTAACCTTACCTAACCTAACCTTAGGGTTATGAGGTAAAAAATGTCAAACTGAATAGGCCTAGTTCCTCAATTTCTAAGCTTTGAGCCACTACTAAGTGAGATATTAAGGTTACTTTCCCAACCTTCATTACAAACCTTCATCAGATTGATATTTCTCATTAACTTACTGCCACCCTTTGCATTTGATCGCCAAATTAAAATTTGTTGATGACTATTTGCGGCCTAAAATGTCTTTCTTTCTAAGAAACATTAAAATATCTGTTTTTATTTGACATTCAGTGAATGATTAAGTGTCTCACAATTGAAAGATTGCAATATTGCAATGAATTAGACCTTGATTTCCAAATAACCCTTGTATTTACAAACTAATAAATCAAAGTCCAGCTGATTAGTTACACAATAACTTTCGTTTTGACACATCTAAATGCAATATCTAAAATTTGTTTATTTTTTATTCTTACCTCACTAGACTTTCCAACAGTCGTACAGTGGTGCGAGCTGTATTGCGGGCAGCCATCCGTCTTTGCTCCTGGTAATATCTGGAATCATAATATAATTGTCAATGCAAGTTTTTAGTTCTTTACCAAGGATCACTTGAAAATCTATTTTTTTAAATACTTTTATTGGAAAGGTTTTTTTACTAAGGAACTCAATGGAGATTTTTCTATGTGCTGCGCTAATATAATTATATAGTTAGATATAGATGTTAAATCTATTATACGTTTGAAATTGAACTTTAAGGAAAAGTATAACCTAAAATTCCTTGCCATGTCTATATTTGTTCAGTCTTGATATAACCCACTGGTAAATGTGTGCCACTCATAGCCATGCACAGTACTGCATAAAACAGCGCATCACCAGGTTTTAATGATGTCTGCTTGAGTAGCAACTACTAGAGACAACCTGGAAGACGACTAGCTTAGCTAGTTGATGATTTGACCGCCAGAGCCTAGGGACCATTCGATCTGCTCACACAAGCATAGGTCGCCGGAATTTCACAGGGGGGCTTGTTATTCTAGAACCATCCAGCTTCGGGGGACATTTGCTCTAAATCAAACTGATCACGATTAATAAAGTCATACTAGGTTCGGCATACTTGCCAAGTACTTTCAGGTTCATGCACCACCTGTGGATATTGTTCATGTGCCTTACATAGCAAAGCCACTCACAGAAACTCCAAAACGTCAAAACGTGAACAATTAACTTAGTAGGCCTATCAGTATCTACCGGGGGCGCACACCAGGGTTTTAGCGAACACTGTGTGTACGGTGGTACACGTTAAGTTTTAAAATACTGTAAAAATATGAAAAAAAATTTCAGAGCGAACGTTTTAAGGAGTCAAGCACTACCTACTCCAAAGTAAGGTATTATTGTAGTCAGACCTGCTTAGTATACGGTTGGCTCCTTCTCCCATACGAGGCTGCAGAGTTTTTATTACACTCAGGTAAGCCTGTAGCTTCTCCAAGGCCCACAAAGAGTTGGATTTGAGACAAGCTGGATCCTTCCCTTCAAGGATGAAACCGGACACTATCCTGTAACATAAGATCCACTGATGTAACAAGAAATGATTTTATGAAAGATCTAGTAACTATCTTTATTTTGCTTACTTGTTTTGACTATACAGTTCTCTTTGTGTTGCGTTTTCGGTACTTTTACCGTTTTACCCTTGAGGACTCAAAGTATTCAAAAAACTTGTAAAAATTGTGTTTTTGAAAATGCCTGCAACTATCTAAATAACACCATCCCAAAGTTTGGTGATTTTAAGTGCAAAAGTGTAACATAATTATTGTACACTATCACAATCAAAACCCCATTAGCATTGTGGTGAAAAATGTTGTCAGAAAACACTATATTACATACCTGTCCCAATCTGGATTGCGACAATCGAGCATTACAAGCACCAGGTCAAAGCGACTAAGCAGAGGACTGGCTATGGCAATGTTGACAGTCAGTGGTTGTGTAGGGTCATACTGTCCCTTGGGGTTGGTAGCGGCCAACACTGTACACCTCGTGTTCAGCTTACACACCAGTCCTGCCTAGAAAAGGCTCAGACTCATTATCTTGGTTAACAATTATAGAAGTAAGTGTTATGATTTATTATCTTAGCCATACTGTTCAAAAAAGATTTGATTCACTACTTCAGCCACAATTCAAAAAGCTGTTATTCCTCAGCCACATTGATTGTTCTAATAGCTCTGATTTGTTACCTCAGGCGCACTGATTGTTCTAATAGATCTGATTTGTTAGCTCAGGCACACTGATTGTTCTTATAGCTATGATTTGTTACCTCAGCCACACTGATTGTTCTAATAGCTCTGATTATTTACCTCAGTCACACTGATTGTTCTAATAGCTCTGATTCTTTACCTCAGCCACACTGATTGTTCTAATAGCTCTGATTATTTACCTCAGCCACATTGATTGTTCTAATAGCTCTGATTCTTTACCTCAGCCACACTGATTGTTCTTATAGCTCTGATTTGTTACCTCAGCCACACTGATTGTTCTAATAGCCCTGATTCTTTACCTCAGCCACACTGATTGTTCTTATAGCTCTGATTTGTTACCTCAGCCACACTGATTGTTCTAATAGATCTGATTTGTTGGCTCAGGCACACTGATTATTCTAATAGCTCTGATTTGTTACCTCAGCCACACTGATTGTTCTTATAGCTATGATTTGTTACCTCAGCCACACTGATTGTTCTAATAGCTCTGATTATTTACCTCAGCCACACTGATTGTTCTAATAGCTCTGATTCTTTACCTCAGCCACACTGATTGTTCTTATAGCTCTGATTTGTTACCTCAGCCACACTGATTGTTCTAATAGCCCTGATTCTTTACCTCAGCCACACTGATTGTTCTAATAGCTCTGATTCTTTACCTCAGCCACACTGATTGTTCTAATAGCTCTGATTCTTTACCTCAGGCACACTGATTGTTCTAATTAATAGATCTGATTAATTACCTTAGCCACACTGATAGTTTGTTGTTCCATCGCCTCGTGTATAGAAGTTCGATCATGTTCTCTGATAGAGTTGAACTCATCAATGCAACAAATCCCGCCGTCTGACAACACTAATGCTCCTGCCTCCAACTGCCATTCACCATCTTCCTAGAAGATATGTTCACTAAAAAATTTATTAGATCCAAATCTCCACATCAAGAGGAACCTTTCTTACACATGGATTAGTTTAAAAAAAAATTGAATGGAAAGCTCCGATAAAAATAGAATAAGAGTTAATGAAAACTAACCAACTACTTTTGTTATAGTACTGAAAAAATTAGCCAAGAGATTTGAAAACTATTAAATTTAAATTCTGAAACTGACAATAGCGATTAATTTGAATATTTAGCAGGTTTTATTCATTCATGTAGAGGGTTTTAATGAGCATTTATAGGTTTATTATACCCATATGTTAGTAATAGAGTGTGCAATCAGTAAAGGCCACTGAAAAAATATTCAAATTTAAAGAAAGGTGATAGACAAGCGTACTACTGTAAAAGCCTACAACAAATTAGAAGAATTTTTAGAAGAATAAGAAAAATAGGCCCTATACCGAGAATACCTTTGACGCCCATGGCTGGAAATCTATTAGTGGGATTATCACAAGTATAAATATAAGTATACGTATCTACAGAGGATCAAGCAAGATACTCACTCTTACAGCTGTGACAGTGAGACCTGCGGAAGTAGATCCGATTCCCGTCGTGAGCACACTACGTGGGCACATTCTGGCGGCGAAATTGAGAATGTGAGACTTGCCGGTACCAGGATCGCCCACTAGTAACATGTGAGACTCTCCCCTCAGTCTAGAGCCCTCCTCTCCCTCCTGTCTGCCTACACCTCCAGCCAGTACCAGGGCCACAGACAGCTTCACTAGGTACAGTCCATACACCTGCAGGTACAGTACAGAATATGAGACTTGCCCGTACCAGGATCTCCCACTAGTAACATGTGAGACTCTCCCCTCAGTCTAGAGCCCTCCTCTTCCTCCTGTCTGCCTACACCTCCAGCCAGTACCAGGGCCACAGACAGCTTCACTAGGTACAGTCCATACACCTGCAGGTACAGTACAGAATATGAGACTTGCCCGTACCAGGATCTCCCACTAGTAACATGTGAGACTCTCCCCTCAGTCTAGAGCCCTCCTCTCCCTCCTGTCTGCCTACACCTCCAGCCAGTGCCAGGGCCACAGACAGCTTCACTAGGTACAGTCCATACACCTGCAGGTACAGTACAGAATATGAGACTTGCCCGTACCAGGATCGCCCACTAGTAACATGTGAGACTCTCCCCTCAGTCTAGAGCCCTCCTCTCCCTCCTGTCTGCCTACACCTCCAGCCAGTACCAGGGCCACAGACAGCTTCATTAGGTACAGTCCATACACCTGCAGGTACAGTACAGAATATGAGACTTGCCCGTACCAGGATCTCCCACTAGTAACATGTGAGACTCTCCCCTCAGTCTAGAGCCCTCCTCTCCCTCCTGTCTGCCTACACCTCCAGCCAGTACCAGGGCCACAGACAGCTTCACTAGGTACAGTCCATACACCTGCAGGTACAGTACAGAATATGAGACTTGCCCGTACCAGGATCTCCCACTAGTAACATGTGAGACTCTCCCCTCAGTCTAGAGCCCTCCTCTCCCTCCTGTCTGCCTACACCTCCAGCCAGTACCAGGGCCACAGACAGCTTCACTAGGTACAGTCCATACACCTGCAGGTACAGTACAGAATATGAGACTTGCCCGTACCAGGATCGCCCACTAGTAACATGTGAGACTCTCCCCTCAGTCTAGAGCCCTCCTCTCCCTCCTGTCTGCCTACACCTCCAGCCAGTACCAGGGCCACAGACAGCTTCATTAGGTACAGTCCATACACCTGCAGGCACAGTACAGAATATGAGACTTGCCCGTACCAGGATCTCCCACTAGTAACATGTGAGACTCTCCCCTCAGTCTAGAGCCCTCCTCTCCCTCCTGTCTGCCTACACCTCCAGCCAGTACCAGGGCCACAGACAGCTTCACTAGGTACAGTCCATACACCTGCAGGTACAGTACAATATATGAGACTTGCTGGTACCAGGATCTCCCACTAGTAACATGTGAGACTCTCCCCTCAGTCTAGAGCCCTCCTCTCCCTCCTGTCTGCCTACACCTCCAGCCAGTGCCAGGGCAACAGACAGCTTCACTAGGTGCAGTCCATACACCTGCGGGTACAGTACAGTATATGAGACTTGCCGGTACCAGGATCTCCCACTAGTAACATGTGAGACTCTCCCCTCAGTCTAGAGCCCTCCTCTCCCTCCTGTCTGCCTACACCTCCAGCTAGTGCCAAGGCTACAGACAGCTTCACTAGGTACAGTCCATACACCTGCAGGTACAGTACAATATATGAGACTTGCCAGTACCAGGATCTCCCACTAGTAACATGTGAGACTCTCCCCTCAGTCTAGAGCCCTCCTCTCCCTCCTGTCTGCCTACACCTCCAGCCAGTGCCAGGGCCACAGACAGCTTCACTAGGTGCAGTCCATACACCTGCAGGTACAGTACAGAATATGAGACTTGCCAGTACCAGGATCTCCCACTAGTAACATGTGAGACTCTCCCCTCAGTCTAGAGCCCTCCTCTCCCTCCTGTCTGCCTACACCTCCAGCTAGTGCCAGGGCCACAGACAGCTTCATTAGGTACAGTCCATACACCTGCAGGTACAGTACAGAATATGAGACTTGCCAGTACCAGGATCTCCCACTAGTAACATGTGAGACTCTCCCCTCAGTCTAGAGCCCTCCTCTCCCTCCTGTCTGCCTACACCTCCAGCTAGTGCCAAGGCTACAGACAGCTTCACTAGGTACAGTCCATACACCTGCAGGTACAGTACAGAATATGAGACTTGCCCGTACCAGGATCTCCCACTAGTAACATGTGAGACTCTCCCCTCAGTCTAGAGCCCTCCTCTCCCTCCTGTCTGCCTACACCTCCAGCCAGTGCCAGGGCCACAGACAGCTTCACTAGGTGCAGTCCATACACCTGCAGGTACAGTACAGAATATGAGACTTGCCAGTACCAGGATCTCCCACTAGTAACATGTGAGACTCTCCCCTCAGTCTAGAGCCCTCCTCTCCCTCCTGTCTGCCTACACCTCCAGCCAGTGCCAGGGCCACAGACAGCTTCACTAGGTGCAGTCCATACACCTGCAGGTACAGTACAGAATATGAGACTTGCCCGTACCAGGATCTCCCACTAGTAACATGTGAGACTCTCCCCTCAGTCTAGAGCCCTCCTCTCCCTCCTGTCTGCCTACACCTCCAGCCAGTGCCAGGGCCACAGACAGCTTCACTAGGTGCAGTCCATACACCTGCAGGTACAGTACAGAATATGAGACTTGCCAGTACCAGGATCTCCCACTAGTAACATGTGAGACTCTCCCCTCAGTCTAGAGCCCTCCTCTCCCTCCTGTCTGCCTACACCTCCAGCCAGTGCCAGGGCCACAGACAGCTTCACTAGGTACAGTCCATACACCTGAAACAGCTTTTTCCCTCTTACAACAAATATGTGTAAACAATACTTCTCAGAAAAACACAAAATAGTGTAAAAAACAACGTTATCTATTACATGAATATTCATATCATTGATCAATATCCTGACTAAACTTTAAACTTTAAACCCTTCCTTCAACGAACCTGAGGACACATGGATGCCAGGATGAGATTCCTAGCTTGCAGAGGCCTGTGGGAGTTGTCTTGCCAGTAAGCCGCAAAGGCGTCTCTCACGTCCTGGGTGATAAGGACATTGGATCTTTGGTCGTTGCATACCTCTAGCTGATTGGCCGAGAGGACCATCTCAATGTCACATCGCGCTCCGAAGTTCAGTGGCTTCCACCGTCGCAGCACTGTGCCACTGAAACCAACTGATAATTAAATTACATCTCTGAGATGCACTTTGTAGAAACAAACTCGCCACTGTCTGAACACTGTACCCAACATAATACGGTTCTGTAGTTCAAAAATAGAGCTGGTAAGTTGGACCAGGAGTAGGTAGGAATTAGTACTGGTTCTAAACATTAGAGACATGCGGGACACCAAATTAGACTTTGGGGCGGAATGTGATTAAATTATTTTGTTTCTTGAGTTTTTATACGGGTGAACAACAACGGCAAGAACCGGTTTTTATACGGGGGGCAAGAAGAAACAACATAGCGGTAAGGTTAAATTGTAAATTTGTTGATAACAATTAAGGTGTACTTGTAAAGCAATTATAGTACAAACGAGTTGCATATTCAATGCAAAAGATTGAATGGCAAATTTACCAGATAAATAATAGAGGTAGAAATTAGAAGAACAAAATATGATTTTAAAGTCATTATCCTTTGTCCAGGTCTTGGTTAACTAGATCATAGTGGTAAAAAAGTATACAAAACATGAGGTTTTAACTACCGTACAACAACCCTAATTATCAAAGAAAAAGTATAACATTTAACTGAATGTTAACATTTACCACAACCACAGCAAAATTTTGGTTCAAAATGACTCTTGTCTTGGTAGTTTTGAGACTCCCGCAGAGCTACCTAATAAGTGAAGACCCACTGTCTTTCCCAAATAACTTGTACTGTAACGGTACCCTCAGATCAGGTGGTACGTACCATATCACTACATCGTCTCCAGGTTTGCAAGAGTCTACCAGGTCGTCCTCCAACGTGACCCACATGGACCGAGGGATCGTCCCCATCCCCAGCTTGCCCACTTGCTCCTATTAAACAGACATTGAGATAAAGTTGGACATTTATTGTTGGTCATGTTAAATTTAAGTCCTTTTACCCTTTCAACTCCGTGGATGGACTAACTCCTTGACTCACAAACCCTGTACAATCTTGAAGATTTGTCCTCCGATCCATTAATTCCAGGCTCAACTACGGACTCGCATACTAGTCTAAAATATTTTAAAGTATTTCAAATTTTGTATAGTAAAGTTTTGATGAGTGTAAATTTTTGTAAGTAGCCTCTTTTAGAAGCAATGTCCGAGAAACTTCAGTCAAAGGTCAAGACAACAAGTACAAGTAAGTAATTAAGTATCATTGAATTGATGTATGTAGATCAACAGATGTTGGCCACAAGTGTATTGATTATTTAACAAGCTTGATCATATCACAAATTAAAAATTCTTTTTAGTTGTTTCACTTCCAAACAAAATGCATGTTACTTACTTCAGAATTATTACCTGAATTTTTATTTCTTGATAGTCTTTGTAGCTGAAGTGGTCCATGGCTTTCACTGCTGTTAAGGTGGTACTCTTGCAGCCTTCAGGGTTGCCACAACCGCTGGGCGCAGAAATCACGTAATACTTCTCGTAATCTGCCTGAGACATTATTCAGTTTATACATTCTTTTGTGTCATTCCCTTTTGACATCTGATGTCCTTATCAATACAAGGGTTCATTTAATTCTTTGCAGTTATCATACTCTTCAAACAGCACTATTTAAAAGATATGTAGGCTAGTCTAGGTTGAATTGAGCTGTTTGGCTCAGTATAATAGTTGTACAGAGTTTAGGAATAATTTTGTACTTTTATTAGTTTCAACTATCCAATCTACCTATCAAACAGTTTTTTATTCTATTGTCTAGGTACCCTGGATTACGTATACACAAGGTAAAAAATAACACTTTTTCTGTAGGCCTATAATTAGACTTCTTGGATATCAGAAATGTTGATGTTAATGGGTGTAGTAACTTTATCAGCTTAATATTTGTAAATAATGACTTATGGGTAGCTGAGGGGTTATTGAGCGACTCTCAAGAAGCAGATCCTGAAAAAGTCAGGTGCTTTTTGATGGCACAAAACTATATCCGTTATCCTTGATAATTGGGCTTTAAATACATTTTTTCAGCTGTAAGAATCGACTGATCTAATTTAGTAACAAAACTAAGGCTCCTAATTCCATTCATTCTATAATTTACTTTATATCCATGTTTGAAGTATGCCGCCTGGTGTCACTGTTTAGTAGGCCTAATAATCATTGTGATAGTAAGTAACATTCAAGTAGGGCACGGTCCTATCAGGAAACATCTCAGGACTATAGGTAGGTCACAGACAGACCACTGCAGGTTCTGCGAGAACGAGGTAGAAACCTCACAACACTTATGGCTGGACTGTCCAGGGTTGACCCAAAGAAGGCATACATCCCTGGGGAAGTCATTTTTGGAACCAACAGAGATAAGGAAGCTTCTGGGCTACTTGAGAAGCCTAGGGCTGTCAGAATGAATCAAGGGGTGCTACAATAGGTCTCCTGGCCGAAGTAGCCAGGGATAGGCTATTACCCCAACCCCACAGGGGAAAAAAAAACATTCAAGTACCTTAACATTAGTCTGATGTTTGCACTTGGCGCAGATGTAAGTCCGTTGAAACTCCAGCATCTTTGGAGCCGCTGTGCGGACGACAGTTCCCACCACTCGTAGGAAAGACCCGACGTCCTCCCCTTTGGGGAACACCGTCCTGTGAAGCTCCGGACAAACTGGCAGGGCTACCAACAATAGGAAAATAAACAGCAAACTGTCAGCAAAATATGACGAAACAATAGATGAATTTTGAGAAGTTTTAACCCATTGCGGACTTAAAGACTATGTATAGATTGCCTTTTTTGAATGCTGAAATTGATTGATGGGTAGAGATAGGTACTGTCCACATGAAATAATGTTAAAACAATTCTGCGTGTTAGTGACGTTGCCAGTACTTGCATGCGAAGGCCAAGCAAATGGTTAAGTTTTGGCAGAGAGGTAGGGTTAGGCCTAGTTTGTGTTTTTAAACATTGCAGAATTAATGTTACAATGAAACTCTTAAAAATATGTTTGTAATTAATCTCATTTGAATTAAATATACTATTTAAAATAGTAGTTCTTAATTTGTATTAATACAATACCGGTAGCGAGAATAGTTACAGATATATGTATTAGGTAATAGCAGATAAAACAACTAGGCCCTAGGCTTATTCTTTACTTATTTTCAAGTAGGCATTTTGTGAAATTATAACAAAATAATAAATACCTGATATTAACATACTTTTTATACGCCAGTGGTTCTTTATACGTTTTTTGTAAGAAAAACGTTCAAACACTGGTCTTGAGACTAGCTAACGTCAACTCGAATTACTTATTCAAATAGCTCTGTTGACAATAATGTAAAAAAATTAATAAAACTGTTGTACAGCATAGTTGGAGTCTACTGTCGGGTCAAAAAGTATAGATACTCGAGTTTGAGCTTTTATTGCAACGTAACCAGTAGACTTAGAAAAATACAAGTTACATCATAATTTTACAAATTTATTTCTACGTTTATGTGTGTAGGTTAAAAATTTTTAATGCAGTTTCAACTTATCCTTTCAGCGGGTTGAATGAAAAAAGTACACGTTTTTCGGCACTTTTCTAACAACGGGCGACTTTAAAATGATATAACAAAAAAACTACTAATCTAATCGCCATGAAACTTTGACAGCCTTTAATACATATACTTATGATGGATATCTGTAACTTTCAGAATTTTTCATCCATTAAAAAAAATTCTCTTGTGGTTTTTGTAAAGGCATTTTATTTCAGGTACGGAACAAGTAAGAAACTACGACGAAAGCTTGAATTAAAGCTCATAAAAAAAAATAAATGAAAAGTTAAGCCACAGATTTGCTAATTGGCATTGAATAATTAAAATGTACGTATAATCAAAGCAGATTTGAAACGCAGTAGTGCGTGAAATTTGTATTGCTATCGATTCGCAGGCAGGGAGTTCTCCCCGCCCGGGACCGGTTTTCGGCGGCCTGGACCAGACCGCCGAACCTCATCACCACAATCGTACCCTACCCCTAAACCATATCTACCCCTAAACTGGGTATCTCTTGTCATTACATTTAACATTCTTAAAAAACATATTGCACTTAAAATCATAGCAATTTCACCTTCGGATAGATGTGGCGCTCTAGGCATCTTGACTGGTGTGATTATAACGAACAACGCAGACAGACTGAGGGAAATATGTTCAGACCAAAATAATAACATTGTAGGGATGGAATGTAGATAACTACTACTAAGTAAAGTATGACTCAGTGGTACGAGTAAGGGTGGTTTGTAGGCAGATAACCTCGCGTGGTATGCATCGCTGGAACGCCCGGGCTGCCAAAAACCGGTCCCGGGCAGGGAGAACTCCCTGCCTGCGAATCGATAGTGGTACAAATTTCACGCACTACTGCGTTTCAAATCTGCTTTGATTATACGTACATTTTAATTATTCTATGCCAATTAGCAAATCTGTGGCTTAACTTTTCATTTATATCTTTTTATGAGCTTTAATTCAAGCTTTCGTCTTAGTTTCTTACTTGTTCCGTACCTGAAATAAAATGCCTTTACAAAAACCACAAGAGAATTTTTTTTTAATGGATGAAAAATTCTGAAACTTACAGATATCCATCATAAGTATATGTATTAAAGGCTGTCAAAGTTTCATGGCGATTAGATTAGTAGTTTTTTTGTTATAACATTTTAAAGTCGCCCGTTGTTAGAAAAGTGCCGAAAAACGTGTACTTTTTTCATTCAAACCGCTGAAAGGATAAGTTGAAACTGCATTAAAAATTTTTAACCTACACACATAAACGTAGAAATAAATTTGTAAAATTATGATGTAACTTGTATTTTTCTAAGTCTACTGGTTACGTTGCAATAAAAGCTCAAACTCGAGTATCTATACTTTTTGACCCGACAGTAGTTCTATTTGTACTACCGTACGAAGATTATTTCAATACAAGTTCTTACCAGTCATCCTGGCGTGGACTTTGCTCTTGACAATGAGTGAGTCTTTGTCATCTTGCCGCTCCCTAAGTTCTGTTTGAGCTAAGACGAGCGCTCGGTCACAGATTGGCAACACAATTGAGGGTCTGGATAGAATTCCATCTCCGAGTTCCGTGCTGGTCTCAAATAATGTGACAAAACTAGAGAGAAAATTTAGATTAAAATAACATAACGATTTAAGACATTTTTTGCATTATCGAGTCTGATGGACCTTGGTCTCCGAGTGATAATCAGGGTTTAACAGGTGAAAATACGGATTAACAAAAAATACCCTTGCCACAGCAAACCTGCAGAATAAGCGAATTTCCATTTGCCTGATTGGATTTAAACCAAAATGTCACCTTAAAAATATCACATTTATTCCCTAATAGAATTGGTTTAACAACTAGTACTTAGGTTTGCTGCAACAGGGAGGGTAAAAAGTGTTGGTTTTTTTTATATTAATAGTTTAGTAAGAAATAAATTCATCTTCCAAATTTGATTAAAATATGTTCATAAACAAGCAAACTACAAACAGTTTACTGTACTTATTATTCTCCATAAGAATAACAGAGAGGAATTTTTAAATTTACAATTTTTTAGAATTTTCTCCTCAACCATTACGTGCATAACTTAATAACTTTGGTTTTTTAAGCTCCACAAAACAGTTGTGCAAGAAATTGCAAAATTTTTTGTTTTTAGGGTCAATATGGGAAAAAAACTAATTTTTACCCCATGTTCCCATGGGTAGTCAGATCATGCTGGTTCTCAAACTTGTTCAAATAAATGTAGGTTTACACGTTTATACCAAATTTCATCAAAATCGGATCAATTTTGCTTGAGTTATCGTGCAAGAAAAAGGAAATAGTAAATCGGTCCCGAGTCCAGGTCTTACCATGAGTTACTACGGTAATAGCTTTTTCCCTCTATGGGAAACTCACTAAAAAACAAATAAGTTAAGTTACAAAGGTCATTTAGATGGCATAGCGAGGTTACGGTATAACTTACAGAAAATATGTAAACACAAGATATAATATAGCCAAACAAAATACCGTAGTTGAATGTGCCAACCTTAGTCAACCACAAAACTGTACTCCTACAAGACCTACTGAATTACGCAATTAATAAAACATTAACACAGCTTAACTTACTTCACCGTGACTGACACATGCCGGGTATCATCTTTGATTTTCATAATCCTTAACAATTCCTCTTCATGATGGTTTAAGGCGTAGTTCTTGAACAGCTCTGGAAAAAATATAGGCTAAATAATTGCATATATTCAGGCATGACTTGAGTACACTAAACCAATCGTACTTGTATTCCTCTTGGACCAGAAATGGATAGCTTAACTTATTCTGCTAGCCTACATCAGATATAGGGATCTTAAATGACATTCAAACATTCTAAGTTAAGTCTAAAAACGTCCTTATTCGTGGTCTTTAAAACTCCTTGACTGGTTCTGATTACTTTCGATATTAATAACTTAGTAAATGGCAAATAAAAGTACAAATTTTTGTTTGACAGGTATTGTCAGTCACCTTACTTTAACCCACTGAAATTCAGTACTAATACTAGCCTGTGCCTAAGTCTGTAAAGGATGGTATAAAACTCAACTAGCCTAGCCTAGAATTTGTATACAGTAGTCTATACTAACTTTTAAAATCACCAGAAGATGTAGCTGTCATTTTAATAAGTTCAAAAGTTACTGTTTGGATAAAATTCCACACTGAATTGGATAGCAGTAGAAGCAAGCACGATCCTAGATCCTACTTCAGCTACAAGTATGTTATCAGTATCACAAAGCCACCCATACCTAACAGATCAACCAATAACATTAATTTTGCCGAGTTCAACTTAAAAACTTGTTTGTAAGTTACTTTAACAAACATTATCAAAAAAGTATCAAATTGGTATCAAAATAACCTCTAGTCTTAGTCTGAATCTTAAAATCAGTTTGACATTTAGAAAACAAAAAAAAAACCATCAACAACAAATTGTTTTGATTGACTTCTCAGTCCAAACTCCCGCCAAGTTTTTTTTCTTTCTGGTTTTGTTGCCATAAAAGTATACTTGCATGAGATCTTGCAGAAAACTTTACTAAACTAACGATTATAAAGGATTAAGACTTATACGATTATAATCCTTACGAGCTAATAACTATCAGAAAAGTCCCTCATATTATTATTATACAACCCCGGTATAACCAACTCCTCGGGATATATCGTACTTGTTTCCTGTCTGGGGCTGGGGCAAAAAGGCCGAGTGTGTTCGATAAACCGAAAGGGCGATCACAGGTGTTGCCGAAATCACGGTGGACAATCACAGCTGTTGACGAAACACGAAACTACAAGATTTGTTCACGGTTAGTGCCGCAATCACGAGTGACGATTGACGTCAACGAGACTGAAGACATGCTCTCTGCGAAGTGATGTTACATCAACAACTTACCATTGACAATACATCTCCTAAAAATATCTAATATATGAAATTCTCGTGTCACAGTGTTTGTCTGCAAACTCTTCCGGAACGACTTCACCGATCGTTATGAAATTTGGTGTGTAAATTCTGTAGGTATGCGAATCGGACGTAAACTATTTCCCGTTTCGAAATTCTTAAAAGGGCTCCGCCCCAGTGGCTCTGGAGTTTCCCATGTTAACCTTATGAGAAATGGAATTAATGAATCTTAACAGCTGTTTCAATTAAACAAGTTGGTTCTGTTCTATGATGTTCAATAGCATTAAAGTTACAATCATTACCAACAGGGTGCAGCACTATTATTTCTTTTACATTTATGACAACAGCTAATTTGCAACCAAAAGGTGAGTGAGCGTAGCGAACGAGCTCCAACCCAAAGGTGAGTGAGCGTAGCGAACGAACTTCAACCAGGACGTGTTTGAGCGATGCGAACGAGATCATCTTGAAAATTAAACGTAACGGTACTTTCTTTCCATCGGTCTGTCTTAGGGGAAACCTATAACTTAGGCGATACGAAGTTCGCCGGGTCAGCTAGTAGATATATAAAATGAAAAAAAAATTAAGAGAATATATACGGTATCATATGGCCAGCTAATAGTCTCATGAAGTGCCATTTCATTTCTTGAGGCTGGCTTTTTTTCTCTTTCTTTCAGGCACGTGTTGTCTATGGTACGCGGCTCTGGAGTCACTCCCCACATGCTAAGAAAGTGTTGTTACTTCAGAAAAGAGCAATTCGAGTCATGTGTCAGACTCATAGAGCATTACAAACCTGTATTTAGAGAACTTCGGATCATGACTGTAGTCAATGTGTACATATATCAATGTTTGATAGCAACTAAAGATATGGAGGCTGATATTGTATATAATTAGGATGTTCACTCTTACATGATGACCAGAAATCGCTCAAATGTACAAGTAGTAATAGATTAAGTAAATCCCAAAACTGTTTTCCTGTTACAGGTATAAGCTTTACAATGCCCTCCCTGGTATTGTCCGTTCCCAACTTAAATACTTAATAAGTCATGTACGTCTACTGAAAGGTAATTATGTTTGTTTGACAATTATATTTAGCATGGTTTGCTGTGTGAAGTTTTGACAGAAGTAGTGTTGTTTGGTTTACAGTGGATTATTTTATGTTTTATTTTTTTTTCGGAAAAGACTGAAATATTATTTTATTTTTAGTTCAATAACTTAATGGCCGAAATAAATCTTAAATTTCGAATCTGCAATACCGAATATTTAAATTTTCGTACGAGTATGTTTGTATGTACACTGTATGCAATGGTTTTTTGTTCAGCATTTTGTTTGAAACATAATAATGTATTTTTGATGGTTTCCATTACTTAAAAGAGTGCGTGAAAAGACTGATAAAAATGAAAACGGTGATAGAAAAAAAATTCTAATTTATATTTTTAGTATAACACAAATAGATTTTATAATCAACGTTTTGAAAAGGTCTGTCGGTCTGTGTCGCTCGAGTCTGTCGTTAGCTATTGCGTATTGCTATTCTGCTTCTAGTCTACTGTCTGCTGCACTGAGCTAAAATTATAACTGGAGGTAGCACTGCCATGGCAGAAGTCTGTCAAAAGCGAGTCGCTGATTTTGTTAGGTTGGTATAGCAGTAAGTTTTCTTACCATAGCAATAATATGGCTTCTTATAACTCACACCTCACGCAAACATGGCGGCTGGCGACACGCATCTTTGACATTCAGTGCTACCTCCAGTTAGAATTATAGCTCAGTGGTCTGCTGTCTCTCTCTGTCTGCTTGCTTGTGCTTCTGCTTCAACCCAACCTTCAAGGCCATACAGCCATCATCTCTCCTCTCATCCATCATACTCGTTTCTTTGCTTGGAGACCAGTTTTGGATTAACTTATGTTTTTTTTATTATTTGTTGTCCTGGTGAGGTATTTATTCATGTTCTACTTTGGCCTTTGATAACTTTTAATCGGATTTAGAGTAGGTGTTGGTTTTGTTCAGAACTGGTTCATCATTGAATAGACTAAAATAGTACGTTCAAATATTAGGTTTTGATAACCTAGCATAATAATAGTTCTTATGATTTTATAAACTTGGAACATGTCATTCAACTACCCTGGAAACCCACCTTTACCTCTAAGTAAGTAGACAATCAATTTACCCTTTCATTAATTAATGTTACTATTAAACATTGTTTTTGCATAGAACCTAGGTCTTGTGTATCGCTTTGTAAAATGTAAGGCTGCACTTTACTTGACGTCCTACACTCATTCGATAGTTTTTTTTCGATTCAATATTTTCATTCGGTAAAGTTAACCTTACCTAACTAACCAAACGATATATCGAATGAAGCAATCGATTAATCGATATAGGCCTATCAATCAATATTTTCATTCGAATGAGTGTAGGATGTCAAGTAAAGTGCAGCCGCTGTAATTTTACTTGGGCCTTGGGCCTAAGTTTTTATAGGCTATCTCAATTAGGGACTGCTTTGATTTTACTCTATCTTTCCTGAAGTGATTGTGTAGGATAGGTCAATCAATGAATAGTATTCGACCTAGGGTAAAGATACACCTAATAAACGGTCTTTGTTTTTTCTAAGCATTGGAATTTGGTCCCATGGTAGTTAAACATCATAAAAAAAGTTTGTTATTGGTGGAATATTTACATTGGTATTGTTTTCAGATCCCCCACCACCCCCACCTCCCATGGGACCTCCGATGCAGATGCCTATGATGGGTCCGCAACAAGGTCAGCATGGCACATATAAGCGTGTGTTGTATATGATGCGCCTAGGCCTACATTTTTAAATAGGCTGACATAAAACTATCACATGGTTTATTGTAAAGTTACATCTCCAATGGATGGTCAAACTTTGATCAGACTCCATTAATTATTTAGGCCTAAGCCTACATAAAATATCCGAAAATGTCCAAAATAGTGAAATAAGTGTACCATACTTACATAACTTATTACCACTAGTAGGCCCTACTACCACCACTACAGTAGGCCTACTACCTCCAGACCTATATAAGTTTTATTTAACAATGCCTAAACAATTAATTGAAGTTTTAGTTTATGTTTTGGTTTTAACCCAAGTTAACTAAGCCAACATAAAATTTGTAGAACAGGAAAGGTCCAGAATACAAAATAGCTGAACAATTTTCTAATCATACAAAGCTTACTTCTGTTTGAGCTTGAATGACAATGTGTTAAATGTCTAGGAGGAGGGCAAATGATGGGTGGTCCCATGATGATGGGTCCAATGATCGGACCACAGGGTTTCCCGCAAGGCATGATGGGTAATATGGTTCCTGGCCTCAACGATGCCCCGCTAGAGTTCAACACGAGCAAAAATAAACCTCCGATGCCTCTGTCAGGTAAGTTTATGTGGTTTTCTATTAGACCTATAGGCCTACTTAAGTGCAATACGTAATGTGAATTTCCAGTCTCACTCCTTTCTATTTAGTATGAATATAAATAGCTGAAAGGCTGAAAGATCTTCATTGAAATTTGAAATTAAATGTTAGTAAGTTATGGTTGTCAAAAATCAATTATCAAAATTAATAAATATGTTTTTAAAACCCCAAAAATAGTCCCACCACTATTTACTCGTACATGCAGCACGAGAAATCAGGTATCTGAGTATTCTAGGTAAACGATATAAACTTACATTGTAGTTCTTTAATTTAGGGTCCGACAAACTGCTTCATTTCTGTTGCTTTTTGCCTCCTGATCACAAATTTAAATTAAACTGGGGGTTAAAATACCTTTAACCCGCCAATGTGATCAAATGTCACCGATGAGCGGCGACCGGTTTCAGCCCAGCTGTGGGGTCATCTCCAGGCGATGAAGGAACATAAATATCACTCCGAAGAGGTTGTCATAAAGTCTATAAATACGTCATAAGAAACAACACATAGGCCTAAATACATTTTTTACAAATACACGTGTGGCCACAAATTAACTGCGCGGCGGACGGTACGCGTACATTAAGTTGCTAGTCCAGACTGTCGTCACTGCCGTCTTGACCATCTGCCATCCTCCTCCCCTTCCTCCAGTTCTTATCAAGGTCATTTCCGTGTTGTTATTATTCTTTCAATGCGGACTGATGTTTCATACAATAAATTACTTTCAAAAGAGGCTTTTTCATTTAAAATGTGCTGTGGATTTTTCTTGCCAGCTTTGTAGATCTCGTACTCTTCTAATGTACATTTAAATGTCTGCCTTTAGTTTTGTGGATTTGTAGAATTTCTAAATTATTTTCTATTAAAGTGTATGAATGATTGTTTGTTATTAGATACTCAGCAAATGCGGAATTATGTTTCTGTGTGGATTTCTTTGGCAGGTGCTCTTTGAAACGTGCTTTGAAAGATCACGCAGTTTGACCTATATAAAAACTGGGGCAAGTGTCACAATTAATTTTGTAAACACCTGTTGTTAGTTCAGTTTTATCGGATGAGGATTTTCTTTTATCTTTTAGGGGGTGATGACAATTTGTTTGAGGCTCTAAAAGATAATTAGGCCTAACATTGTTTTTCGAACGCTCATTTTTAAAATCTACAGCAGTCGGCATTGAAAGAACAATAACAACACGGAAAGGACCTGATAAGAACTGAAAGAAGGGGAGGGGGATGGCAGATGGACAAGACGGCAGTGACGACAGTCTGGACTAGCAACTTAATGTACGCGTACCGTCTGCCGGGCAGTTAATTTGTGACTACATGTGTATTTGTAAAAAATGTATTTATGTGTTGTTTCTCATGACCTATAGACTTTATGACAACCTCTTCTGAGTGATATTTATGTTCCTTCATCGCCTGAAGATGGCCCCACAGCTGGGCTGAAAACGGTCGCCGTTCATCGGTGACATTTGATCACATTGACAGATTAAAGGTATTTTAACCTCTAGATTAAACTGATTCATAGCGGGGCTCAGTGTCAGTTAAAACAACAAAATTCTTTGCAGGGGAAGACCTTGAAAGAGAACAGCTAAAAGCTTTGGCAGAAAGAGAGAGAGAAAGGAACAGCAGTAGAGACAACCAGGATAGAGAGAGTCGTAGAGACAGAGATAGAGATAGAACTAGAGAGAGAGATCGTACCAGAGAGAGAAGAGACCGAGATAGAGATAGGGATCGCAGGTGAGAATAAGCATTTAAAAATAATTAGAGACTATTATAAGGATTTCAAGTAACCTTACAGATGCGAGTGATCTTACAAATTAAATTACCTAGTGAAGTTCTGCTGTAAGTCCCTTTACGACGCTCAATACGGCATGTCGAAATGCAGGCCTTTAGTTTAGTGTTGTAATGTTAAATGATGTAAACATTGTTTGTGGTTGTAAATATATTCCTTTGTGGTTGTAAATATATTCCTTTTTTGTTTGCATTCACTTCTCATGGTCATGATTTGTTCAGTTTAGACGAGGGTTTGGTTTAAGGTGTCTGAATAGTGGAGAGTGTAATGGCATAGACTATTAAAGAGAAATTTTTTAATAATTTTCATTTATGTTTATTGACTAATATCATTGACTTTTGGATTCTAAAGTAATTGTATCCCATCTATATGGACCAGCTGTAGCAAATTGTTTCACCCAAATAGAACGAAGTTAAATGAGCCATTCACATAGGTAGCTACTGGACAAAATTATATTTTATTTTTTATACTTTGATCATTGAACAGTCAATGGTGACGGTTTGTAATCAACATCAATTGTTTGAAGGGATGACCGAGACTCGGGCACCAACGGTAGCAGCCGCGATGGTCGTGAGAGGGACGCAGGAGACTCAATGTCCCCGCCAAGCCTCCAGGAGACTACCTCCACCGCCAACACAGCTGGCGGAGCAGTGTGGGGAGGCATGATGGGACCGGTCGGCTACCCTGTCAACGTGATGGGTATGAACCCCATGATGGCTCCGCAGATGATGGACCCCAGCATGATGATGGGACAAGTGAGTCAGTTGAATTTTATTATACGTCCGTCACTTTGCCTTGTAATGGAAAGTTAGTAGAAAAGAATGTATTTAAGTTGACCTACACCATTAGTTGTGAAAAAGAGTTGAAAAAGGGATCGATAAAACTCAAGAAATGTAATTTTCATGGACAACTTTTTAAGAAATTGCATTAAAGTGCCAAAAAAGTATGGAAAATGGCTCAAAACACTCATTCAGTAGACATTGAGCCCAAGGCAGTTATGTTGTAGGTTCGCATTTCTGATATCTGTCTGCCACTACTTTTTGTAAGTAAAGTTCATCCTTGTATTGCTTACTGTACCTCATAGTTTGCTGGATACAATCCACGCACGAGCCGAGACGCCAACCTCTTAAAAAAAATAGGTGACAAAAATAAAAGTATTATTTCACCTTTCACCAGAGAGCATTACTGACCATTATTGCTAAGGCCTAACAGTATTTCTCGTCCTTACAGTACAACATGATGATGGGCCCGAGTGGGCCAGTGATGGCTGATGGTACGATGGTGCCGACACCAGTGTCTACAGTCAAGGAAGTGATGACATTCAAGAACTTCACGCTGTTTCCCCCCAGTCCTAACGCTCCTCCCCCCTCCACTAGAGAGAGACCTCCTGGATGTAAGACCATCTTTGTCGGCGGCTTACCTGAGAATGCTACAGGTGCGTAGAGTTGGATTAGTTTTATAGTGGAACCTCAATAAGACACTCAATAGTAAGTAATCCTTGATAACAAGTGTTATTTAAATACCCTGGATTTTTTATTGTCTTGGATAATCAAATCACCTGTTATTGCCATCACTTATCTAGTAGGTGTATATGACAATATAATGGTATATCCCATCTTAAGGCTAAAAAGTTATTGATTCTATTTGGTACCAACTAGAGCCACTTTTCTTGTGTCAAAGGCCTGTAGCTATCCGACTTTGTACCTCTAAGGAGTAAGTTTGTCTCAAGATATGTTTTCCACACAGAGGACATGATCAGAGAACTGTTTGGTCGTTGTGGAGAGATGTTGACTGTTAGACTGAACAACAAGAAGTTCTGCCACATACGGTTTCTGCATGAGGCTTCAGTGGACGCTGCTCTCTACTTTAGCGGTGAGTTGAGTTTCAGTCATTTTCTTTGTAATGGTTTGTTGAGTAAACAATTACAAAACCCTAATTTTTTTTTATAATTTCTAGAGGTTGTGAGAATACAATGCTTAAAAAAGTTAATATTTTACTGAATAAAGAATAAGATTTTTTTTAAAAGTTCATCTTTATTGATGGTTAATGTTATATAAGGTATTATTGGGGGTATTTTACATTATGATAACAAAATACAAGAATGTTTACAGTACAACATTTTATAAAATTTGAACAGTTCTTTAGGTGAGAATATACTTCCCTTAAAACAGCATGATTTGAATAACACAATTAAAGCTAGATAAAATCACACAAGAAAAACTATACAGTAATAGTATATTAGTAGTAACCTACAGTAGTACAGCTGAAAAAGAAAAAGAATTAATACAAGTGGAGGGTAGTTGAAGCACAAAATTAACATGGCTTTACTATATGTGCTCGATTGAGCTTGGGTAAGCATCAGTCGGCACATGGCGAAACGATGACGGAAAACCAAAATGGACTCTAGGAGTTTTGACTAGCATTCTATTCTCTAAGTGCATTTTCTTGTTTTGGCACGGTTTGTGGACTTGTTTTGTTATGTTGAGTATTTTAATCCCTAAAAACGCGATCAGATGCCTGATACAAAACCCAAAGAAAACTTAATACCAATCGTGAATGACAAATAGTTTGATTGTCTATTCTTCCGCAGGATACCGAATGTGTATCGGCAACAACACAGACATTCCCAACACAGGGCGGCTACACGTGGACTACGCCCAGGCCAGGGACGACCAGTACGAGTGGGAGTGTCGACAGAGACAGTTGCAACGGGAACAACGACACAGAGACAGAGTAGAGAAGGAGAGACTACGAGTGCCGTCTCCTCCACCTATCGTACACTACAGCGACCACGAGGCCAACATCGTGGCGGAGAAGATCAAAAGTGAGTCTGAAGTTGACATTTATGTAAACCACATGTAGCCAATTTTGTATGTGTAGTGAGGGTCACGCCGCAGTCTATAATTATATTTTTATCACTCTGTATACACAATAGGCCATTTCCATTCAGCTCAGCTTGACGATTTCAAAACATTATTTTGCCTGCCCTAAACACTATTTTTCTGTCCCAAACTAACCTTTTTTCTGTCCTAAGCAAACATAGTTCCAGTTTTACTCGAAAGGAGCAACACTGAGGATTCCTTTATTACAAAAGATATTGTTGAAACACCTGACTTTAAAATAAATTGTAAAGCTATGCTATGACAACTTTGAGAATTGGTGGACTAATGAATATAACTTTTTCACCCAAGAAGATTTGTGTGAATATTTGAAACGTGATGAAAAGACTCTGATTTTGATCTCCGATGAAAAGATTTTGATTTCTGATTATTGTTCATTAGGTCTACTTGTCACAGAAGTTCCAATCTAGGACTCGATAGTTCTTTCCTGCACTCAGCTTTGCCTCTCTTGTTAGCCATTATTTTGCCCTCAAATCACTTTCGGGACTGGTGGTGAAATATAATATTTTTATTTTTGTTTTGGTTGCTGTGATAGTTGATAAGGCGTAAAGCAATGAAACCATTCTGATTCTATGTTTAGCTTTTAGACAGAAACCAGTAGGTATTTCAATGGACACACTGTGATTATCCACCATTACGATCCACAATTCGTTGAGTTGGGACTACTGTACCAAGAATCACAGTTAACAACTTAAATTTTATCGTTTGATCTTGCCCTGTTGCAGCTGACGAACAGTTTACAAAAGCCGTACAGGTAGTGATCACCTGGTTGGAGCGGGGGGACTGCAGCAAACGCAACGCAAACACGTTCTACTCCATGATACAGTCGACCAACTCCCACGTCCGTCGTCTGCTGACGGAGAAAGCCACGTATGAGGAGGAGCTGACCCGAGCCAAAGAGCTGATGAAGGGACGGATGCAAGGCCTGCTGATTCAATGTAAGTAGCCTAAACATTCGCCGCTCTAGTCAGCATCTTCAACCAAGGTGGTATGTCAGGATACTCAGGTGTAGGATGGGAAAGTATTTACAGTTGAACCTATTATATCCGTCATGAAGTGGACATTGGATCAAGAATTTTTGGATTTTCTAAGGACCAAACATTCCAAAAACATAAATCTTAGCTTCATGCTACCCTGATAAGGGATAAATTAACTAATTGGATCTCTCCTTGGATACGAGAGATAAAGAAATTGTTTTTCAACAAATACATTTTGCTGAAATGTTTTTTTTTTTATTGAACCAGAACACACACATTAAGTTTTTTTGTAGGCCTAGGTACAATTAAAAAATGTACACTATAAGCCCACTCACAATTAAATAAGCTAGGTATCTGTGTTGGTTGACATGATGTCGGTTATGGAAGGTTCTACTGTTCCTGCTTACTAAGTATTCATGTTCATCTCAATGGCTATTACCGCTCTTGTGTTTAAGTACTGTTTGGGTAGGGCCTATGTGTTGTTACGGTTAAGTGTTGAATCTAAAACAGAACTAAACAAAATTGTGTCTGAAAACTCAAAACTTGAATCGTTAAACCTTATTACACGGACAAAAAGTTAAACAGTTCATTGCAAAGTTACAGTGTGTGATTTCTGAAAAGAACAAGATTTGTAAAAAGTAAGGACGGAATCTAGCACTATTGAGGTTTAGATTTTGAAATCAGCAAAATTATTGAAATGTTTTGTAGTTTTTCATATGAGTTTTGCTTTTGAAACATCACTACTACATTGCAGTCTAGTTTCGATTCCAATTTTTTAAAGGAGATGAAACTCAACAGTTATATTTACTAGAACGTAACAATATGTTTAAAAAACATTTGATAAATTGTTTTTGTTTGACCACTTAAAATGTTTAATTGATTTACCTAAATTAACACAAACTAGTTTTTTGAATGGAAGATTGTAAGCTTAGGATTTTGATCTGTAGAATGTAGCAGATATAGTTTACCTTAAAAGGAATACAGGTAGGCCATAGAACATCACATAACACACAATTTTTCCTCTCCTGGCTTTTTCAAGTGTAGAGAAAGGAAGTCCGCAAGTTCCTAAATTAGGGTCGTGACTTAAAGAAAATAAAACTTTTTTCCTTGGTTTTGTACTGTACAAAATTCTACTCCAGTTTAGAGAATTGCTTCATTTGAAAGTTAAAACAAATATATTAGGAGTTAGCAAGATTAAAGCTAGTGTTTAACCAGTTCTACCTATGTATGTTGAGTAAAATGAAAATGGTAAGAAAACTTTCAGACATGCTGCAGGGCCTTTGGGATGGAGCTTGATACAGCTGTAGATCCATTCTGCTAATCTACTGTTCTATTATGGTGACACAAATGATAAGTTTGGTGAATCGGGCAAAACTGCTTTACTGGAAAAAAAACTATACAGGGTGATTGATATAAGTGTGCCAGCCGTTTTATTCGAAAACCATAAGAGATATCAAAAAAAGTTAAATGGTAAGTGCCTTGGATTTTTTATAAAAAAAATTGTAGTCAAGTCAAAAAAATTATTTTAGCCGCCATTTTTCCAATATGGCCGCCAACATTGATTTTTCTTATGGAACACCCTGTATTTTATGATGTATTCTGGTAGAAAATGTGATTTTAAGACGATTTTATTCTTGTGATTTTTTTCATAAACCTAACCGTTTCAAAGATAATAATGGTTAAAGTTTTGAAATTTTTGCATGAGAAAGAGTTTCGATACAGGCCTAAGCAAGCATGCCAGCTGTTTTATTCGAAAACCATTCAAAATTTCACAACTTAAACCATTATTATCTTTGAAACGGTTAGGTTTATGAAAAAAATCACAAGAATAAAATCGTCTTAAAATTACATTTCCTACCAGAATACATCATAAAATACAGGGTGTTCCATAAGAAAAATCAAAGTTGGCGGCCATATTGGAAAAATGGCGGCTAAAATAATGTTTTTGACTTGACTACAATTTTTTTAATAAAAAATCCAAGGCACTTACCATTTAACTTTTTTTGACATCTCTTATGGTTTTCGAATAAAACGGCTGGCACACTTATATCAATCACCCTGTATATCAGGAAGCCTAAGTTACAATGAGGATCAAAAAAGGACTTTCACTCAAAAATAATTTATACTTAAAAAAATTGTTGGGATTACTGAGATTAGAACCTACGACTCAAAAGAAAAAGTCCCATGCTCTAACCTTGTAAAAATTACAGTGACAAATTAACTGGTTGGATCTCTACTTTGATACATATCCTGATGGGTTTTGGGTAGTTAGTAAGGAACTTCTCACAGATCAAACTGGTGATTCCCAATAGGCCTTGGAGTTTCCACCATTCCTACTCTTCAGTTTATCTGGTAAGATCTATGTACGCAGACAGGCAAGAAGGATTCCAAAATTCAAGAATATGCACCTGTGGAGAATGGAGAAAGTAAGCTACCACTACCTTGGGCACCTTGTCCTTATGGTATCCAGCGTTTTTGTGCCATGTAGATCTGCCATGCAGCCAAAGAGGTCTTGGGCTAGATTAAAACTAGAAATTATGGAAATTAAGGAACATTGGCGCTAGAACAGTGGTTATTGAGACCATTATGGGTAAGAACAGTCACTCCTCTAGTTGTAAACAAGTCTTACTATTGGTTAAGTTTTTATTAAGCAGAGTGTGGAAGTCCTTTTTAACCTCGTCTTAAATTATTTTGGGTACAGTAGACTCCCTCTTATCCGGACTCCTCGGGACCGAGGCCAGTCCGGATAACGGGTTTTCCGGTTAAACCGACGTCCCCAAAAACTTGTTAAAACGGACTGTTTACTGTGATATTCGACCTAAATTTATGAGAGCATTGTATTTAGACACGTGATCACTGGTCTCAAATCTTTCCCACGAGAACAGTTGTTTCAGTACTGCCCACTTCCTGCCAATCTAGTCCGGTTAAACCAATGTGCTGATAAAAATTGTCCGGTTAAAGAGATGTCATTTCCGCCGAGTGTAGTCCGGTTAAACCGATGTCCGGTTAAAAGGTGTCCGGATAAGAGGGAGTCTACTGTATGAGCATTGTAATTGTCTCCTGTGATCAAGACGACTACGTAATTGTCTTCTGTAATTGTGAAACTATCTGTGTTCTGTACTCTATCACATTGGGGGCAACACCCGTAATTACCTTGCGATTGTGCTATTTTTACTACCTGACGACCAAAAATCCTTTTTTTCTTTGAGAAATCAAAATTTCTTTTTAAAAGAGATCAACGTAACTCTGTTGTGAATGTGTGCATGTGTTGTGGGCTTAGCCGTAGTCTATTGACAATTTTTTCAAAATTCCTAGTAGTTCCATACAAATTCACTTACTTTTTCTTAGTCATTAAAATAACCACATACAAGCGACTATTTCAAGAAATCATTTCATCATCTGATCTATACAATGTCAAGGAATGGAAGACCGTTTTAAAAATACAAGCGTTTGAGAATCCCACTGATATTAAAATCGTTAGTTTCAAATACTACTATTCTCAAACGTGTATTTCAAATCTTTTTTTTTTAGATTCAGATTTGCCACTGAGTTAACTCACTTCAAATGTTTATTACCAATGTCCGTTACAGCTTACTTACTTGCAAACAGTCTAGCCGTTTGAGTTCCCCGATTCACCAAACTTTTCCATCACCCATGGTAACTCTCTTTAGTCTAGAAATACCTCCAACTTCTGGGTTATGTAAAATGTGTCGTCAGGTGTGGTTTCCCAACTGTCTCCAAAACACTCATTTCTCCAGTGAAGTACTAATGTGCATTAAATTAAGTCTTCATCTCGTTGAAAAGAAACTTCTTGTTGGGGTTAGCGAATTTGTTAATTTTAGATTTTGTTCAATCTTTGCGCTAAACATGTTTTATTTGCCGCAGATTCAAATTTTTTATCATGGATCGTCTCAGTTTTGATATTCTTTATTTCCATAACGTTTTTCCCCTCTCACATTCGTTTGCATTTGAACTTCAACAATTGGTGTCTTGTATTTATTGTAGGATAGACATTGTGGACACTAACATTTATTTATTCTTTTGAGCTTGAAAATAGATTCTTACCATCAATGTTGGGCTTGTCTACCTGAGGCATATTTGATTTTTCACCATGATTACAATACCAATGTTTACCCAATAACTTAATCCCATTTTTCTACAACTTGCTGACATTCTGTCAACTTTCTTCATAATCTTTTCTTTATAATTTCACATGGTCTTAGTGTCACAAAATTAGGCAAAATCAGGAGTTTCCTCTGTGCCATGTAGGGGTTCATTTGCGATGGTTCCAGTTTCTAGTCCACCTTTTACAAAAGCTTCTGCAATTGTATTGAGTTTGATAGAAAGCGTACTCCTACATCGGTAGCTTTTTAACAAATTCAAATCACAAACTGGTTTTACCGGAGAAATGTTTTTAATCACGGTTGGGGGACCACACGGAGAGTAAGTATACGAGTCTGCCCGAACTGTACTCATGTTTTAATCTGTCTCAAAAGTCAGTCAGATTGAGCGAGTATTCTCGGCCGCATCTCACAAGAAGGTCTGGGACCACTTCACCAAAGCCCAACGCAAGAACATAGAAATGTGGAAGAAGCAAGCTACGGTAGGTATTGCAGCACGTGTACCCAACAACAATACTGTCTGTCAATTACAAAGTGATGAGGTTTGGCAAGTTTAACCGTAGAAGCGCTGAACTTCCCAATTACTTGTGTGTCTGTACTGTAGTGATTGGTTACTATCATAGCTATATTTTAACCGGTTTTGGAAATATATGAAGGAATCATTTTAATTCGATTGTATTCTTTTACTGTTTAGGACATAACAAGCTGTGAGGTCAGTGAAACAAAATCCTTACTAGATAAATAAACACAACATCGGCCCAACTCAACTATAAAATAAACAATTGCTCTCTGTGATGTTTGCTATAAAAAACTTGTTCTAAATTAAACTGTCAAAAGTAGCAGCCTTCTCCAACATTACATTTAAACAAGTACATTTAATCGTAGGAAATATCAGAGTTTAATTAACGGTATATTTTCAAACCACTGTCTTTGGAGAACATAATTTTAATATTTTAACATAAGGTATTTAATAGGGATGGTCAAGTCTCGAAATTTCGGGAAATTTTCGGGAAATTTTACATCTCGTTACATGAGACGAGATTTCTTTTTGGCCGAGATTTTTATCGAGACAAGAATAAAAAATAAAAAAATAAAAAACGCCTGCAGAAAGTAAATGCAATACCCGCAATACAGGAGCGTGTTGTAGTTGCGTTTCCTTTGCGAAGGCGTTCTTATTTAATTCATTCTTTAAATGTAAATATTACTTCAATTATTTTAATAATATTACTTTAATAACATTTGAGAAGTTTTGTTAAGTGTAAGCAGTGTGAGGAATGTTTTATTACCATAAAAAGTCAAAACAAGTAACTATTTTAGAAAAATGAATATTGCTTTTATTTTATGATTTATTTTATTTTAGGATAAGTTGAACTCTATCCTAACTGATATCACTATGTTTCCTAATTGTAGGCATTTTTAATAAGTTAGGCGTGATTAATAAAAAAATGTTATGCTGATGTTTTTTAATAAAAGATTGTAAATATTCTTGCCTATTATCATTATTTTTGTATTTAAACAGTCATCTAACAATGTTACAAAATCAGGTAAAAATTTTGAACGTGCATTTCCTGTTGTGTATGAGAAGGGAAATCCTGTCTAGATCTCGTCTCGAAATTTTATGAGAAATAAAAAAATCTCGTCTCGTCTCGTCTCAAACTAAAAATCCAATCTCGTCCATCCCTAGTATTTAAGCTGAAAGTTTAGAAAAATAAACTCTTCATTTTAGTGGTTCAAAAATTTAACCAAAAGTCTAGAAATGTATTTATTTAACAAGAACCTAAAGACTAATGAATAAGCCACAATTAATATTATAATTTTTTAACATTATATCTGTAGCGCATATTGAATATTTGTAATCTGAAATTAAAGCACTTCTAGGGTTTAAATTCAACTGAAAAATCTGTTGGAATACTAGAGTCAGCAGTCAAAACATTGTAATATATAAATTCAAACACTTTGTTCTTACCAGTTAGGGATCTTTTCACAAATGTTGGTTGCATTAAAAAGGTAAGTTTAAGTGTTTATAGATTTAATATTGCAATTGCTTCATCATAAAATCTATTCAACCTAATATCTTATAAGTCCTGTTCTTGTTTTCAATTTCCAAAACTTCTTGATACTTTGGGATGTAAGTGTGCCTTTTGTGCAAATTTGAGTAAGTATAAGACTGATTCCGTTCACATTGGACGACAACCTGAAAGTCTCGTTAAGTAAGGTTTTGGTGACGCCTTCTCTCAAAACCATAGTCAGGGAATGAAGGTGAGTTGTGTAAAAGCAAACCCTACCAACAATTCTGGAAGATCTGGACGGTATCCAAATTTAAACTGTCATCAACAATTCCATCAAGAGAGTAAGAAGGTGAAATACATAAGTGTATTTAGTCGTGTCACAAAATAGATTTTAAGGCTGGATTTATGTATTGTAATCATACATAAATTCTTCAAAATTCAAACTTGGATTATGTATCGTCAGGTAGGTTACAACTGTAAGAAAATGTCACGTCTTAAAAAAAAGACTTTATTATTTTGACATATTTTTAAGTGAAGGTTTAAACAATAACCTGTGTCAACATGGGGGGGTAGTTGTACGTACGTAATCAACTTGCCCAATCTGTGTTTTCAAAATTTTCTTAAAAGACCACCATTAAAAAATTTTCTAAAAACTACCATAACAAAATTCCTCGACTTGGAAGCAGCAAAGTATATTAAATAATGTTGTTAAGAGATTTAATTATTTTGCTAACTTAACAAAATTCTAAAATCAATAACATCCAAATCAGAATCTTCAAAGTAATTGGACCATGTGAAAATAGTTTGATGATATAAAAGTAATTTAAAATAAGAAATTCTAAATCCATTTACTGATTTGGTTAATGGCTATGGTTAGAGTACATACAACTTCAGCGTCTTCGTCATATGCGTAAAGAGCAACAAAATCCATTGCATTTGCACAGGTGAAGCCCAAGGTATGTTTTCAGTCTTAGTCACCAACCCAAGAAGCAAAATGGATCCCTTACATTTGCACGGGTGTTATAGGAAATAAAAACTGTGGAGTTGGAAGATAATCTGCTCGCTGGTGGAGACGAGGAGATGGAAGTGTCCGATACTGACGAGGAACAGTTTGGTTACATGGGCGGACCGAGAAAGAAGCACAAGAAAGACGACCCTACCTCTGCACTTAAGGTAGTAATCCTTTAAACTTCATGGATCATTCGGTGACTTAGTTATGTCAATTTGTATTCCTGTTTCCCTTAATCTTGTGAATATAAAAACACCATTTTTTTTAAGATTAAACTTATGGAGTGCTTATTTAATTCACAGTAAGGAAAAGTGTAGAGTACCAGGGTACCTGATTTAAGGTGCTTTGCCACTCTTCAACATACACATATACTAAGTTAAAAGTTTAGTTTTTATGTTGTTTCCATGTAGTCTTACAGTTGCCAATATTGAAGTTGTTTTCTCTCATCAAAATATAGTCTAAACCCCCGCATAAACAAAATATTTTAAAACAAGTTCTCGGTGGAAACCTTTATCAGTAACAAAAGGCAAAAAGTAGCAAAATCCCTGATTTGAGGATCGCGTCGCAAAGATTCCACCCATCACAGTCATCTTCGTTCACCCGACCTGACCAAGACGGGATTTGAACCATCAATATGTGGCCCTGAATCCTGAACTAGGAGAAAATTCCCTGTTCTGACTTAAAAAACTTAAAAGACAATTAATTAAATTTCCTTAGTTCTGATTTTTTGGGGATAGTTTATCAACTGTCAAATGGGAATAGAAATTCAAAATTTGATTTTGTTTTGAAAAAAAAACTTTTTGATTTAGTTAATTAAAATGACTAACCATTCAATAGTTTGGAATTGAATTAGTCCTGTAAATTTCAGGATATAAAATAAAGTTCGTGGAAAGTTCAATTTAATATTAAATTACTTGAATCATACTAAAATATACAATTTAAACAACACTGGCCAAAGTCCTGGGGAACCCTGTAAATTGACTTACCTATACAGGGTGATCAACTCAAGGAGGCCACCATTGGGATTTTGGAAACGGTAATTATTTACGGTTTAACGGTTATTAAACACAAAAAATAAAGGAATGTCCCCCATTTAAAGTTTTCTCTAATTCTTACCGTTTCCAAAATCCCAATGGTGGCCTCCTTGAGTTGATCACCCTGTATACCATGTTTTTAAGTGTAAAACTAGAACCTTTTATTCTTGATGCAGGAAGAAAACGACAGTTTGCGGTGTCAGTTGGAGGCTTACAAGAATGAAGTAGATCTGGTCAAAGTAGATTTGAAGACAGAACTTGATCAAAAAGACAAACAACTGAAAATGTGTCAGCAAACACTTCAAGGCATGCAGCAGGTAAGCGATTCCTTTCATCCTTAAGGGAAGAAAGAACACATTAAACTTTATATTCACCACGCCAAGCACTCTTAGAGAGGAAATAGTTATTTGTGTAACTACCTAGTGTGCGAAGTGGCACTTTGCTGCACATGAGAGAAATGTTTACGCACAAGCCATAGGCAAGTATGGAAAGTACCTCAAATGCAGCAAAGGCCCTTTGCGCTCGTGTTACACATTATATGTTTCCTACAGTTACTATAAAGCATATAAACAAGTAGTCCTTCCACTAAACAACACTTTTTAGATTAGGTTAAACCCTAGCGTTGAACGAAATGGGAAACACTGCACCACTGCACTGATTGTAGTCTTAGTATCTTTAAGTGTTGCCAACTTATTTTCAAGCGTACATGTAGGTCTATCTAGTATAAAATAAATGAGTAAATAAATTAAAACCACACTGTTTTGTGTTGTTTGGTTGGAATACTGGAGTACGGCAAACAAATGAGTGTGGCAAAAGTAGGTAAATGCAGCAATTAGCTACTTGGCGTGCTATAATCAGTGCAAGGAAGCCCACTTTGTCAGGTAACTGTAGGAAAAATATCAAGTGGAATGTATTATGAATTTTTGTATGCGATAATCCACCTAGAGCTCTTATCTTGTGTGATTTCCTACTTCTTTAATGTACCTTTTCCTACAGTCACCCGACAAAGTTGGCTTCCTTGTACTGTTTATAGTACAGAAAGCTGCTAATTGCTGCATATTTATACTTTGCCGTACGGTTTATACTTTGCCGCACATCAGGATTTCAACGAAACAACACAAAACAGCGTGGTTCTATTATGCACGTAATCTGTGTATGCTTGGAAATATTTAACCTGTCATTTCGTGTTTATAGTTACGGTATTTCTGAACTTTCTGTACTTTTCTTTTAAACGTTTTTAAAACATTCCTACTATCTTAATAAACAAGAAAATACCTTTTTTTTAGGCGTGGAAACCACTTCAAATTACAAAAACATACGGAACTATATTCTCAAAACGTGGAGCACATTTCTTGCCGAGGAAAAATAGCGGAGTGATACGGACCGCGGGTACTACTTTCTCTAGGGCACCATTTGTGTTGCCAGCTGAACCTAAAAACGTGTTGTATAGTGTTTGAAAGACTAATTATTTAAATGCTTTATAGTGACTGTAGGAAAAATATAATGTGTAACACGAGTGAAAAAGGCCTTTGCTGCACTCGAGACCGCGGGTACTACTTTCTCTAGGGCACCATTTGTGTTGCCAGCTGAACCTAAAAACGCGTTGTATAGTGTTTGAAAGACTAATTATTTGTATGCTTTATAGTGACTCGCCTGCGGCTCGTGTGTAAACATTGCTCTCGTGTGCAGCAAATTGCCACTTTCACCACTAGTTACACAAATAACTATTTCCTTCTAAAAACCATTATCTACATAAACATAACAAATCTTGGATTAAATAACTGTTGTAAAAAGTCAAAGGATGGTTAATTAGACACTGTTTGAGGAAAACAAATTGTATGAATCCTCGAAGAATGAAGGACTAAAAATAAAACAAGAAGCGTGTAAAACAGATCTTTCAGACATAAAAATACAAAACAAATGAAATACATATAATATGATAATTCAAGCAAATACAGCTTTTAATAAATACAACAGGTAATCAATCCAAGTTAAAAATTGGTTTACATTAAAAAGTCGTGAAAATGCCTATTTTACCCACAAACTACACTCAGTAAATAATTTCTTCACAAAAGTGTTGCTATTGTTAGAGGTTACATGGCAATAGGGCCATAATTTCACACTCATCGTCTTCTGCTTAAATCTGCCACCGTTTTAACAGCAAACAGTACAATTTTATGTAATTAGCTGTAACCTGCGGGCTTTGCCCCGTTTAACTTCTTAATTTTCAAGATGATCTCGTTCGCATGGCTCAATCACGTCCTGGTTGAAGTTCGTTCGCTACGCTCACTCACCTTTAGGTTGGAGCTCGTTCGCTGTGCTCACTTGCCTTCAGGTTAGCTCGTTCGCTACGCTCACTTGCCTTCAGGTTAGCTTGTTCGCTACGCTAACTCGCCTCCAGTTTGAAGTTCGTTCGCTACGCTCACTCACCTTTTGGTTGCAAATTAGCTGTTGTCATAAATGTAAAAGAAATAATAGTGCTGCACCCTGTTGGTAATCCTTGTAACTTTAATGCTATTGAACATCATAGAACAGAACCAACTTGTTTAATTGAAACAGCTGTTAAGATTCATTAATTCCATTTCTCATAAGGTTAACATGGGAAACTCCAGAGCCACTGGGGCGGAGCCGATTGGACGGATCACGAAATTGATGGTGTATAAACCTATTCTATGAAATTCTACACGTATGTACCAAGTTTCGTGGCAATCGGTTCAGCGGTGTCTTGAGTTTATCACTGCCAAACAAATATACAAACATCCTCTTTTATACTTATAGATTTGAGTTTATTTTTACCTTTCCCTCATATTAATATTAAACCGTTTCAGCAATTGTTGGATGCAAAGAGAAAACAAGGAGAAGAAGAACTCAAAGTGTTGGAGCTGAAAGAGCGACTGAAAGCTGTTAAGGCGGCGAAGGAGAAAGAAAGCAAGGAAGGAGATGAGGCTTTGAAAGACGAGACTGAAACAGCTGAAGTCGACACAACCGACTCTATTCTTCTACTGACTTCAAAGTTGTCCGAGAAAGAGGCTAAATTGATCGGTTAGTTGTTTTAGTTTGTTAAAATATTTTTTTTGTTATTTAAAAACTATTTGAGCTGCTCGCAGTGTGTGCTACTGCATACGATTTTATTTTCAACCTTATACTGCTTTTAGGTAGTTTTAGGCGAAGAAATCTATCCTTTCCACATCTTGAATCTACCATTATAGCTTAACATCTGAGATTTGTCAAAACACCAATCAGCAGCAACATTCATTAAGCAGAAAATAGTGGTGGGGGAACTTCCTCTCAAACTGCCTAAATTTTTTGAATGGGCTATAGTTAAAACATGTTATAGCTTAATAAGTTGCCCCATTACTTTGTCTAGTTTGACATAGATCAGTAATTTACATCTGTCACTCTGGCTTTGGGTCAATTCAACTGTGTCCATTATTATACTAAAACTGTAACTTTTAAATGGGGATGAAATGTCTTGTGCTATCAGTAGTCAAAGGTTGAATACAGGATCAACCTTAGAACAATTTCGAGTTTGTGATTTGACATTATTTTGGTGGAACCTAAATATTTACATAGACATTTTTGAAGTATTCTATTTGATTAGTTTTTAACCTCAAAATCACTATTTGTACACTCCTAACCGTAGTCAAAGCAAATTAACTCTTAAGTGAGTATTAACGTGTATAGCTGTTTCTTCCATGTGATATCAAGATTGTATTCGTTGTTTTCCAGGTCTGATCTCAATTTTCCTGCACGTACATCCGTTCGGCGCAGGCGTGGATTACATATGGTCGTATCTACAAAAGCTTGATCCGAACCTGAAGACGAGCGAAGTTGAGACGTTGATGTCCAGGTTTCCCAGCATGTTCCAACAGGAATTATCCGGAATCGGCGCCAATATGGAGCGGCGCTGGATTTACGCCGGATACAAACCACTCAAGTCGGAGTGAAACAGAAAATCTTAGTATTATTACAAAAGTTTCACAGTCTGTTTTCCACAAAACTTAATCTGCATCAAGTTTAGAAGACACAAGTAAGGTGTAAACACAAATTATCACAGAACAATTCTATTCCTTTACATTAATTATTCATAAGAATAATTAAAACTAGTCATTTGTAGTCTGTTGAAATTCTAATGCTGTAGTGTACAAAAACCAATATATTGTGTACAGTTTTATTTATTTTCTCATCCAATTGTATTGTTGCTTTGTGGTTTTATTGAGTAATTAGTATGTATTCAACAATGTTTTAAACATTTAAAGCTATTACCTCGTAAGTTGTAAATACTTATGTCATTTTACTTTAGGGTAACTCAGCTTAAGAACTTAATAAACAAAAATATTTGTAATGGTTTTCATTTTGATTTCCCTTGTGAATTTGTTGTCGGGTAGAATTTGGTGGTATTTAAAACCTTCTTAGCTGCCTGGGCGCTTTTTAGTTTAATTAATTAAGTTTCCATGATCTACATTTTTCATTTTCAAATATTGCAGTTCGGTTTATTAATAGCATTAAAAGCTTTGATCTTGTGTCTTCCTTTTGAGATGCTGCAATTTTCATCCGCATGGATAACAGTACAGGAGGCAGACCAACCGGGAGAGCCTCGGTACCTCAGCGAGAGGCTTAAGAGTCGGCAGGACCGCTGGCCTTGGATTTTCTGCCCATAACGGCAATGTTAATGGTTGAAGCATATTACGGCATTGTTTATTAAGATAAAAAGTTGAACAATATCTTATTTTATAGCTATTGAAACCACGGATGTGATTTGCTACCTACTTTGAATTTTAATTATTATTATTTTGTCAAACTACATAAATATATTGACTTAAAGGTAATCAAGCTGATGATGCATGATTAATATGCTTCATCGTGATGTTTTTGCTGATCGGAGCTAGGACAACCATTGTTTAGCCTGGCATCTGACAGTCAACAACAATGCAAAACTACTGCCGACTCTAAATAAAGGGGAAAGATCTGTCTTGGCCTTGACCTCAGGCTTTTTCCTTAGGTCTTTTTCTTATTTTAGCCCAATGGTGGTTCCAAGACGAAGGGGGCTAAATGGTTCCCTCCCATCTGATCTTGGGAAAATAAATATAAATAAACATTTCGTCATACAAACTTATTGGGAGGTTTTTTAACACTGATCCAAACCTAATAAACGGTATCAGCATTCTGACACATACTTTCTCCCATAAGTTTGTCAACAACCTTTATCATGTGTAAGCGGTGAAAGTAAATATACGGAAATGTAATTTGTACGATTTTGTTCATAATTTATAGGACTACATACTAATTTTTTTCAAAATCGTTCGGGCCATTTTTGTGAAAATCTGATTTTTCCGTTATTTTATGGGGTTTTTATGGGGAAATAACATAATTTACAATAACTTTTGAACCATAATTTTTACAGAAATGGGATTTGTACCATTTTGTTCAGAATATAAAGGACTATAACATACAATTTTTTTATCAAAATCGTTCGGGCCATTTTTGGGAAAATCCTATTTTTCTGTTATTTTATGGGGTTTTATGGGAAAATTCCCATTAAAAATTAAAATTTTTTAAAAATGAAAAACTATAAAAACTTTAAGGACCATAACATACTATGTTAAAATGAAACCGGATTTTTTTCTAAAATCCTATTTTTCGTTATTTTATTGGGTTTTTATGGGAAAATAACATAATTTACCATAACTTTTGAACCGTAATTTTTACGGAAATGGGATTTGTACCATTTTGTTCAGAATTTAAAGGGCTACAACATACTAAATTTTTATCAAAATCGTTCGGGACATTTTCGAGAAAATCCGATTTTTCAAGTTGTTTATGGGTTTTCATGGGAAAATCCCCATTAAAAATCAAAATTTCAAAAAAATGAAAAAAACGCCTGGAGATACCATGGATTAGAACCTACATACCAAATTTCATCGAAATCGGACCACAGGTGTAGTTCCTAGCTCTGTACACATCCAGACACACACACACACACACACACACACACACACACAGACATCACTTCGAAAACCACTTTTTTGGGTCCAGGGGGACCCAAAACGAATATATCCACTCAAAACTCAAACTCGAAAATTTTGACGAAAACAATACTTTCTCCATATACTATGGTATAGGGGGAGAAAGTAAAAATTGTTTTAGAAAGTCACCAAACAGCTAAAAATATAGAAAACACTGGACTCCCCCTCCTTCCTTAAAGGCTGTGGAACACCTTTTGGTTCACTTTCCCAGTAAAACTTGTGATACCCACAAAACACATATTTTCCATTGTTATGCAGATAATTGGGCATTTGTTGGATTTAAACAAATTTCTATTCTAATGTTTTAATTGGATTCTTGATTGTAAAAAAAAATAACTTGAATACTGGTACTTATTTCACTAACATTTTATGTTGATTATTCTAATTAAAAAGCATATGTCTGAAAAAAAAAAAAAAAAATGTATTCACATTGGTGTTCTTCCCTTTTTGAATTATTAAAGAGAAACAAAAGTGAATACACAAACAAAGAGAATACCCTTAAGACAATTAATCCTTGTATGTGCTATTGTAAGTGTGTTGTGTGTGTGTGTGTGAGAGAGAGAGGTGGTGGCTAAGTGAACTGCCAAGATGAAAATAGCCACAACAGTCTGGGTATCCCGAGCCACGAGCCACTAGTCAGTCAACCAGTGTGTGTGTCTGTGAGTGATTGTGCAGTGATAATGTGATAGGTAGCTCAGGGATCATGACTAGCAGCAAGAAAGCAATAGGCGGCAGCATCCATCGCATCAGGGAGTTTGAACTGGAAAAAGTAAGTCCTAAAACTACTATTGTATCGTATCATTGTTTTTGGATACTCAAGTAGACTGAAGCAATTTTTTTATTCATAGTAAAGCCACTCATATAGTGTGCTATTGTATAAAAATCTTTCCCTTCCCTTAGATTTGGTTTTGAGAAATTTATATATCAGAAAAGACAATATGGGCGGTAATTCCTGTCGCACAGGGCCTTCCTCCACCGTGAGCATTGTAGTACATGAAGGTGAAGGGTGTTGGACTTTGCCCTAGACACTAGCACTAGTGCTTGACACCACTTAAGTGTGTTCACTACTGGTGATGAAACTAAATAGGCCTAATAAACTACAGTAGAACCTCTTTAATCCGAACCCCTGTAATCCGAACGTCCACTAATCCGAACGCCTCAATGCTGTACTCTATACACAGTGCAGTAGTTCTTTATTGTATACTGTATTTATTGATATACGCACCGTAATTATTTCAACTGTAATGTACAGTACTGTTTATTCCCAATGTTTACTACTGTATTAAATAAACACTGTATTCTACTTTATAAACCATTTTCCACTTTTCCCTAGCTATTGTTATGTAAAAACAACAATATGTTCTGTAATCCGAACTATTCAATAGTCCGAACTACCCCCGGTCCCAATTAGTTCGAATTAAAGAGGTTCTACTGTATTTAGATTTGAAACGGACTAAGATCAGATGAGTCTAGGAACATTAAAGTGGTGCAATATTAAGTTGAGCTGTTGAATATTCAGACCTTTCCTAGATTAAAAGATTCCATTTGAGAAATTTTTGTTCTTTTCATGCCAAAAAAGGATGAATGTTTAGAACAAAATTCAATTGGATAACCAATAAAATCATTTTAAGCCAGTCGATAGAAGTTATTCTTGAATCACTCAGACTGGTGTGACTCAACTAGCTTTTGCCATAACTTTGCACATTACTCCCACATATGTTTATCATCTTGATGGATCAGCTGAAGAAAATTTAATGACTGTCCAGCAACGAGTGCTTTGATGCATTCTATTACATTGTTTCCTGATTGTTATTGTATCATCTGATTGGCAAAACTGAATTATCTGTTAACTACTGTTTGTCCCCTATGGTATTATTTTTTTGATAACATTTAGGGCTGTTTTAAAATAGTAATAAAACATAGGATTTATAAGTTTTAAGGCTTGATTGTGTCCAATAACTGTAGAATGGACATTGATGTTTACTATGTTCCGTCTATAGTTGTGTCACTTATTTGTAAAATATTCCATCTAAATACAAAAACCTGCAAATATAACCTATTGTAAAACGCACAATATAAAATCTCTCTGAAAATCTATTTATTAATAGGCAAGGATGTTTTGTTAAAACCTTTTTCCTCAGCTTGTGTACATCGCAGGGAAAATCTACGCAACTTGTTAGAAAGATAGTTTCCTGTAGATGTGCAGAATCCCTTTATTAATTCAAATAAGCACAAAATGAATTTAAAATTTAAAAAAATTACATAGGTGGTTTCTATGGATGAAATAACAACAAAATGTAAACAGAAAATCAAAACAAATGGAAGAAATTCCAATCATATGTTTTATTGTTTTATTGACAGCACGGGGTAAAAATAGTCTGTACATTGATATTTTTGGTTGAGTTTTCGACCACTGGGCGACCTCTAGTTCTTTTAATTACACACTGTCTTCTTCAATACTTTCCTATGTCTTTGTTGGGAATTGAACTGAGAAGGTTACCGGTACAAAGAATGGTATTTTTGCTTGACAAAACAAATATGCTCATCAATTGAAAGTTCCTTCCAGAAAAGTGTGTACTGGGTGAGAATCATAAAAACTATACATGGTTGAACCTGGTTTATTTTAATGTTTAAATATTTTTTAACCAGACGACAGGATCAGATTCCAGATCCTGTAATGTCAACTCAACACAACACCGAACACTTAGTTTTTTTTCTTTTTTTTTTCATTGTGATGGAAAATGTCTGCAATATTCTTTTAGATAACATAAACTGACATCATTAATAATGAACAAAGATAGTAACTTACCCAATGACGGCTCAAACATTGTACTCGTCAAGAGTTTTCTTTTCAGAGAGCCAAAAAGGAAACATTATCAAATACTTTATAACGGTGCCCCAAGTCCAGTCTTATTCGCTGAGAGCTACAGAAGTAGCTGTGTAGAAAACCTAAAAACATAAAAGCACCCAGAATATAAATAGTTGATCGTATTTAAAATAAACAATGCAAATGGAACACATTTACAGGAAAAGATAGTTTAAATTACACACAAATAGATGAATATGCGCCCCTGACTATGCAGAATCAATATTGGCAACGTAATATTTATCTCAAACAATCTATTGTATGCAATTAAAGTAAACAAAGTTTCACTGCTAAATCAACTGGCTCCAAAGTTATCAACAGACGTGGAATGCTTCTCGAATTTAATTTTGAAACTAAAAGGTTCATTGCAAGCTTGTACCTACTAGATTTATACTATGTTAGATATAGTTTCCAAAAATCCAATTACCGGTAATATAATAATTCAGTTTAAAATTTGCAAATTCTTTTATTAAAACAGTCTTAGAAGAGACAATTCGTTATGATGGTTCTGTGAATTAGCTGTCTATAAATAGAGGAAACAAGAGACATACTTCCTGCCTTTGGCAGCTAAATATGACATCCAAATTTTATCTTTATGAACAACAAGTTTGAAGATTTGCCTGAGGAAGTTTATGTGTAGTCACACCATTACCTTTGGATAATGCAAGTAGTTTTCTTACTCTTTTGTATAATCTGAGCATCTTATGATATAGTTTTCCCAGTAACCAAAATTTAAAAACTGGTTTTATGTGACAGTAAAAATCTCTTGATATTTCATTTTACATTGTTTTCTAAAGATAACAGGCTTGCCTGAAGAGGAATAAGAAACAGTCCACTCTTTCACAATTACCACAAACATTTATTACCAATTTACCATACACAACAATATAAAACATTGCACTGTTGCAGACAGAATTTTCAGCCAGGAAAGATTTTATTTGGGGTTAGAGATGTCTTCAAGTCCAAAAAAATAAATTTATTCAGCAGCTAATAGGAACACACTTGGTAGGGCCTTGGGGCGCATAACTTTTACGCAACTTCTTGCTCATTTCCTTGCTTGAAAACTACTATTATCCTTGATACCTATAAAAGCCTCTGGGTGTTGGCCACTAGTCAATATTTTTTTATAAAAGAGAGGAGTCAAGCTTTAATTTGGCAGCTATATTTTTTAAGCGCTTAGTAGATTCTCTGTTGCATACCGGATTTACTATAAATTATTTCGCTATTTTTAACTGCTTTCCTTGCTAGGGCATTAATATCCCCTCCTAGCCACTCCATTATTATCACAACTAAACTGTTATTAGTGTTATTGCACACACAATAGCTTTAAAATAATGTAAATGTAAGATATGTAGTTTCAGATAAAGACATATTTACAATACAAAGAAAAGTTGTAAAAGTTTAGTTTAGTAAAACCACAGAGCAACGCTGGTGGCGCTGCCTACGGATTGACAGGCAAAGCTCTCTCAAACCGCTTAATGCTTTTTACCATGCGGTTGGCATTCTGGGTTATAGTAGTACGTTTTCTGTGGTAAAACAATCAAATACAAGAAGCTTTCCTCACACCCAGAGAGAAGAAAACCAGACTCCACAATCATTCACAAACAGAGCAGCAGCAGAGACACAAACGAGTCACAGAGCACAGAAAAGATCTCACTCAGAGTAAAAACCAAGTCACAGAGCACAACAAGAGATCTTACTCAGATAGTAAATCCAACGCAAGTGTAACCGCATCATCAATGGCAGAACAAATCACAGAGTGCAAATAGATCTCACTCAGAGTAAAACCAACGATTCACAGAGCACAGATGAAGATATCTCACTCAGATAGTAAATCCAACGCAAGTGTGTAACTACATCATCAAAGGCAGGACGAATCACAGAGTGCAAAAGAGATCTCACTCAGGGTAAAAACCAACGAGTCAAAGAGTGTAAAAGAGATCTCCCTTAGAGTAAAAACCAACGAGTCACAGAGTGCAAAAGAGATCTCCCTTAGAGTAAAAACCAACGAGTCACAGAGTGCAAAAGAGATCTCCCTTAGAGTAAAAACCAACGAGTCACAGAGTGCAAAAGAGATCTCCCTCAGAGTAAAATCCAACGAGTCACAGAGTGCAAAAGAGATCTCCCTCAGAGTAAAAACCAACGAGTCACAAAGTGCAGAAGAGATTATTTAATAAAACCTTATTTGTTGCACCGCACTTCCCCTTTTGTCTGTGTCAAACCTCTACTGCAAGACTAAGTAAATATCATTGTAAATAATTAGGTAGATGGGATAGGTGTGCGATGAGTCATAAGCCTTCCATAGCTTTGTTACTGACTAAAATCTGTGATTTTACATCAAGGAAGTCTTAGAAGCCCTTCGATCAAGAATAGCTGGGTCCAGTTTTGAACCTTAAAAAAGGTTTTAACTTTTCACAGGATTGAACCTTTAAAAAGCTATTGACTTTTCACAGGATATAACCTTCAAAAAGCTATTGACTTTTTACAGGATTGAACCTTACAAAAGACATTGACCTTTTTAAGATTGAAACAACAATTTTTACATTGTTGCTAAGCACTAAAACCAAGTACTCATCTACCACAGTAAAGAGTGATGTACTCTTTCCGCGAATAATAAACTATTTAGATGTGAACAGCCAACTTTGTAGGCAGGAAAACCCCGTTACTATCGTAAATTAACTGGCAGTATTAGTATAGCTTAACATTTAGGATCTAAAAGCTTTCTAACGAGTGTGAAACCACGAAGTGAGACATAAATTGAGCGGACCTGCGTCTAAATGTATAATTGAACAAACGGCTGCCAAATGCCAAATACTCTGATTGGACCAGCGGGCGAGTCCAACATTTGGTAACGAGGGATGTCAATGTCTCAGTACACAAATTGTGAAACGAAACTCCAGTAA